AGGTGAGGTAAGACTGAGAATGGTGTATGTGTGAATATTTCAGAACCAGCAGATCCGGTGTGTGTTTATTTTCTCTCAGAAGAAGAACCCAACACCAGCAGGCTCAGTGCTCCAATCCAGCAGCCTGAAGAGACACCATCATCAGCTTCAACAGATGTCTGTGAACATGTAGGAGCTGCTGGCCCCATAGATCCTGCTGACTGGCCACAGCAGTTGAACAAAATGGGAAGTAGAACTTTCTTTATGATGACACTGATGTTTGAGTTTTGCTTTTGATTGCACAGTTTAATGCTGCTGTTGATTTTGCACCCCCCCCCCCCCCCCCCCCCACATGACATTTGCACAACATTTTGAGTTGTTGGTTACTGTAATATTCTCAGGATACTTATCTTTCAAGCTTACATTTATTCTTCAGGCTGTTGACTTTAAAGAGTTGCTGTGTGAATATTTAAAATAAAAATTAGTAACTAAGGAACAACTGTGGAGTTGCTTTTTCCAATGTGTGGTGGGTGGGTGGACTTGGGTTTGGGTGAGAGGTGTGGCGGGGGGGGGGGGGGGGGGGGGGGGGGGGGGGCAAATGGGCAGTCTCGCCTTGGGCACCAAATTACCTACAGCCGGCCCTGGGCTAGGTACACAAAGAAAGCAATACAAACACACAGATAGGAACAAATCTAACATGTGACCAATGGTAGCGTTCTGGTCATGAGACAATGCATGTACTTACCTACGACAGCTTGACCCAGTGCCGACAATGAGATATTGATCTTTCCAAGTCGACCATGTCTTAGCTGCCTCTCCAGAAGTTTCTTGTTGGTGACAGTGTTATAATGATGAGTCATATTTCATGTGTGGATGGACTCATGTTACTTAAAAAGTAATTGCTTTTCCTCATGTTTGCAAAGAACTGTTCAACAACTTGACTGTTCAGCCAGCCTTTTAGCTCCGGGACAAGTTGAATTCTGCGTAATATGTCCTTGGGATCTTTTGTATTTCCCTCATGAAATCTGTCATACAGGACATAATGGTCAGATGATCCAGTGACAGGATGAGGATTTTCAGAAAATGGCATGTTTTTAATTACAATCTAAATTACTTTAAAACACTGAATGACTTTCAATAAGTTTTTGCCATCACTCACTTGGAAAAAACCCACGGCTTATCATTTCCAGGTGAACAGAGTTCCAAAAACCTTCAATGTCATGTTCACCATTGAAGTCTTCCGGGGCTTTGAGGTCACTCACTATAATAAATTGACTCATAAGAACATGCACATAATGTACACAATGAACTATGAACACAAATGTACTTTAAACTTACCTGCTAACTTGAACACCCCTTTTCTGTGTAAGTCCATAACTACCACAGGGGGGTGAAACCCACAGTTTATGCAGGAGTACATGTAGTCTGTGTCAGTCAAAGCCTCAAAATGACAATAAGCATGAAAAATGGTATCCCTAGAAGGAAACTTCACTCTTATTAAGCCCTCCAATGAGTCAATGACCCTTGAAGCGGATACATGGTTCTGTAATATGACAATAGGGAGAAGAAGACTATGATTACAGATATTTAAATTTGGGCACCAACATATCATAATGACACAAACACATATTTAAAGCAATCTTCAGATGAGTACATTTTATTTTGTGATCCTCACCTGCAGATTTTCTCTCAGAAAAAGGCAGAGTTCAAGAGACAAAACAACGTGGTTGTCAAAGTTGTGAAGCCCATCTGTCCACTCCTGGTATCTGCAGACCATGTGGCACTGAGGACACAATCTATGGTGTGTTGAAACATCTGTTAAAGACAAATCACGTTAATGTCAAATCATAAGTATAGGAACAAGTATAACTGATTATTTCACACTGATGTTTAATCTTATTCATTAAAACTTACTCTCAATCACTCCCATCATGCTGACAATCCTTAGCCTGGCAAGCCAGACTAAATAAATGTATTATTTAGTATTTAGCTGCTCTCGGTTGTGGGGCGGGTTCTAACGTTGTCTTTCAAATGATCTCCACATTCCACTGGACAATGAATGTGACATACTCTTGTTTCACTCTGTTGCATCATCCCACCCACCAGGCATTTAGAGTGCCCTGATTGGCCCACAAAGCGGATAAAGCTCTGTGATTTGTTCACTAAGCAGATAGAGCACTATGATTGGCCCACCATTATGGACCAATCACAGCTCTTTATGTGTTTGAAACCCCTCTATAGAGCTGTGATTGGCTAGCCAGAGTCCTGGTAGGAGCTGCTGAGGTTCCAATGGAGCATGCCTAGACCATTCTTTGCAAAGCAAGAATTTGGTCTAGTTCACTAGGCTAGACAATCCTCGCTTTATTGGTAATTAGAACAGCCTCATCAAGTTTTGGGTGCTCTGGGCACACCTGGCACAACGTTTCACAAGGAAAGAGCTTTTTCTGATGATCCATTTTCTGTGAGATGACATTTTCTGGAAGAGACACAGGAATTTTTTTCTCTTTTAAAATATAGCGTATACTCCTTTTGACGGCAGCATTGTCCTCAAAGGAAGAACTCTCCTGAGTCATCTGTGATGGGGTGCCTGATGATAGTGGTACAGTTGATTTGAAGATGTCTCTCTGTGTCTGGAAGAGATGCCACTTAGCTATGTTTTTGTGAGGACATGATATTCGTGGCTTTGCACAAGCGCAATGCCAGGTGTTCCTCAGAGCATTGTAAGTCACAAATATTCTGCCAAGACGGCAGAAACTGTATTTCCGGCTCAAATACAGACAAACAGATCTGTGTTGAGGATCCATCAAAATCCACCCTCACACAAAGTGGAGCATGTGCCATCTGGGCAGCTTTCTGTCTCTTTATGCATGTAGCAGCTTTGGCCTCTCCAAAAAATTTAAGGTCCACCATTTCCATCACGATGTGCTCTTGATGAAAAACCTCCTTCACAGTTTCTCGGCAGTAATCTAGTGAGCGAAGGTGCTCACAAAAACTGAAGCCTAGTCCGCTCCGCTGGGCCAGCAACGGGTATTGCTGATATTACTCCAGCTCACATCTGATGTTGTGAGACATCCCCATGTTTTCCTCTGAACGTGAACTGGCACAGAAAACCCATGGCCAGTTCTCTGCACAGCACATAACCCTGTAGTTTCATCTACACAAACACACCGCAGATGACTGGCCAGGCAAACATCTATTGACTGGTTGGAGTGCTTCCTCATCAGGTGAGCCTTGTAGTTTTTGGTACGAAGAGTAAGGCCACAGTGAGGGCATGTCGTTTTCATGGACTTTCCATTAGCTGCAGTTTTGTTGAACACAGAGGGTAGAGCATATGAATGTTCTACCAAAGATTCAGAAAATGGTTCAGATACCGAAGACAAACCTTGGGGGGGAGACGGGGCTCCTCGAAGTGTACTGCCGGAGGAATACGGGTTTCCTCGGAGAGTTCAACGGGGAGCAGTCCTGATAATGGTGGCTGACTTGGCATTGAAGAATGCTGACAAGACAATAAATGCCTTGCCATATCCCCACGCCGTATGATTGTAGTCTTACAGACAGGGCAGTGAAAGTGTCCTGCTGTCCTACAAGGCAGCCTACACCGGCATATCATTTTATCTGTAGGAGAAAACAAACAAACATTTTACAAGACACTTTCATTTGTGAGATATGTTTCTATTGACATATAACAGTCAATTGAACAGGGGCTAACTAAAATCTGGGCAATAAAAAAGCTGTACAGGATAGAATAACGAATAGAAGTATTGATAAATATATAAATCTGTTTGTGACGAAATGTACGGTGTTGACGCTAACCTAAGGTGTCAAAAGTGCACACGTTCCTTACTACAGTTTAGATACCTCTGTTTAAAAATAGTCAAATAAAAGTAGAAGCATTGACTCGACTTTTTAGTCAAGTGGAAGTAAGAATTACAGGGTATAAAATATAATTTATGTACAAAATCCTGAAGTAATCTTGCGTCCAAAGCACGCGTGCGGGGGGCTGATTTAAAAATGTACGGATTACAAAGTACAGACACGCGTGTTAAAATGTGAGAAGTAGAAGTATAAAGAAGTATACAGTAGGCACAAAAAAGTACAGCAGTAAAGATACCAGAAAACTCTACTTAAGTACAGTATTGAAGTACTGCCCCACACCGGTTCCTACGCCCTTGCTAAAGAGTCCCATATTTTATCATGATTTCAGTGGATTTCACAAATGGGGCCTTTAAACAGGCTCTCTCTCATTCCCCTTTTTTGAATGATGTATTCTTGGAAAGTGAAACTGCAAAAGTGGCATGAACCATCTGACAGTGTAGCCAACCTATGCTGAAGACCCTTGAAACACTTTAGTCTGAAAATGAAACTAGAAAGTCACATCAGTGGGTGGAGCAGCTAACTATGCACACACACACACACACACACACACACACACACACACACACACACACACACACACACACGCACGCACGCACGCACGCACGCACACACACACACACACACACACACACACAGACAGTCCCTCCCCTACAAGGGAGGGAGGTGATGCAGCAGCTAACTATGTACACACACACACACACACACACACACACACACACACACACACACACAGACAGTCCCTCCCCTACAAGGGAGGGAGGTGATGCAGCAGCTAACTATGTACACACACACACACACACACACACACACACACACACACACACACACACACACACACACACACACACACACACACACACACAGACAGTCCCTCCCCTACAAGGGAGGGAGGTGATGCAGCAGCTAACTATGTACACACACACACACACACACACACACACACACACACACACACACACACACACACACACACACACACACACACACACACACACACACACACACACACACACACACACACACACAGACAGTCCCTCCCCTACAAGGGAGGGAGGTGATGCAGCAGCTAACTATGTACACACACACACACACACACACACACACACACACACACACACACACACACACACACACACACACACACACACACACACACACACACACACACACACACACACACACACAGTTCCTCCCCTACAAGGGAGGGAGGTGATGCAGCATAGTTCTGTTATGACATTCCCTTTTCTCTTGCTTTCTTCAGAGCAAAGTGATGGCTGCCATAACCGAGGTTAGAAGCGGAGCAGCCGCTGGAATCAGAACCACCAAAGGCTGGTTCTTCTTTTTCACTCTGCTGATTCTGGTCTGTGTCACCAGCTCCCAGACACAGGTTAAGGTAAGTTAGTCAGCTAAAACCTATTGTTCAACTTGTTTTTAATCTCCTTTTTTTTTGTACTTTTACTGTTTAAAACTATTTTTGTGCTTGTGAGTTTTTTGTCTTTTAAAAAAAAACTTTTTTCTTCTTATCTTTCTGGTTCCAGCTGTGATCGTGTCTGTTTTTGCACCAGCAACTTGAATAAAGACCTTTAAAAGTCCCAGATATGGTTAAAATAATGACCCTGATAAATAGATATTAATGTTTTTAATGACAAAGTAGTTTCTTTTTTTCTATTGTTTAACTAAATGTTGGTTTTCTCTGTGGATTTGCAGGAAAATTTCAAGAAAAATCATCAGATAATGAAGGAGAGATATGAGAAAATGAATGTGAGTTTCACACACCATTTCCAAAAACAAAAAATGAGCTACTCTGATGGTGATGTCATCAAATCAAACATGTTAAAGCTGACAAAACTCTAGCACCAACATCAAACATAACTCACTTGAACATGTCGTGGATGTTTGCTACGAGTAAAACTCAGTCTATGCTGAATTACTGGAATAAATGGATTCATGCATGATATGTTAATTTCTCCATTTTCAGCTGTTGTTTAGTGAATAGAGTCTGAGAAGCAGTCAGTTGCTTATTGTAGTGATGTGTCGGTCGCTAACGAACCGGCTCTAAGAGCCGACTCTATGAAGTGAATGACGGAAGCCGGCTTGTCATTGGGAGCCCCCCCCCCCCCCCCCCCCAACCACCGGTTTTGGTGAAAGCTACAGACGATTGGTCAACAGGTGTAACTGTATGTCCAGACTGTCCACACACAGAGCAGTAGGGGCGGGAAAGAGGGAGGATCAGACTCAGACAGACACACAGCAGAGCACATGTGGGCGGAGGTAAACGAGAGGGACTGAGGAGGAGGAAAAAGGCGAGTGAGAGAGAGAGAAGAGTGTGACGAAGACGGTGAGAAAATGATCGATAGCAGTAGGAAAGTTGAGATTTCTTAAAGTGTTCAGTTAATAAATCCATATAAATGATTAATAGTTCACATTTTGCATTTTTTTACATTAGTAAATCATTTTACATATAGTTTTGCATTAGTTTTGGTGATAAATATACTTTACGCTATAGAAAATCTGAGGAGCCACTTCGGAGCCGAAAGAGCCGGCTCTCTAAAAAGAGCCAGAATTCCTATCACTAGCTTGTTGAGCGGCTCTTGCATGAGAACAGTTACTGAGCAGTCAGCAGCATAGACGGAAATCACAAGGAGCATAAAGTGGTCTCCCCCCAAACTTTTGAGCATATAACCACATTTAATAGTGATATAGTATTTTTCAGTGAAAGCAGAGCACAACAGATCAAAGTTTATGACTCCCCCTCCACCATTCCTCAAATGTACTCTCAGCCTTCAGAGAGTACAGACGCTTTTTTCTCAGCTCCCTTATCGGCTTCCCCAAGGCTCTTGTCCCGTCTGCCTACAGAGCACTTCTCTGCATTTCTCCTGAAACCACTACTCTTTTTTGGAAATATGGACTTAATTAACTGGTCATTCAAAGCGACTGACAAAATTTTTTCTACGATGAGAACGGAGAAGGGGGCTCCCACCTGTCCCGAGGGGACATTCGCATAGGGATATGCACTCGATTCTTGGGAGGTCTGGCAAATCGTGTGCCTCTCTCAGCTGTCCATCGAGGACGTGGAAGATTTGTGGATGTTCGGCCTGATGATCACTGGATTTCTTCTGATTGGAGTGGGTGGATATCTGGTTTTCTGGAAATTTGGGAAGCCGGGAGCGATTGGAGTGCGACCCATGCCCACGGAATGTGCCGCTCGTGCGGCGACCTCACAAACTGGGACGTTACTCGAGGTGAACCGCAAGCTGGATAATGTCCTCGCGGCGTTGCCTGTATTAGTACGCAAGATGGATATGATCTCGGAGAGGGTCGCCGGACGATGTGGGGATGTTTAGAACATAAAATTGGCTTCACTGGTGGACATGAATGACCACTTAGAGACAGACAGACACAAACCTTGGGGGGGAGACGGAGAGGAAAATTATCTCTGCCTGCCCCAAACAAAGTCATGTTTATCCTTATCTGACGCCATAGCAGCCTCTCAAGGCTGCTTCAACACACCCCCACGAAAGGAGGAATGCCGACAGATGCTGTGTCCCGACCTTCACCCTCTTCCTTCAGATTGAGACGTCTGCGGGAAACTTCAATGTGCTCTCTGGTCCTTATCTCTCCCTCCCACCTGTTGGTCTGCAGCTGGTTGATGCGCCGCAGTGGCAGCTCCCATTGGAGGCTTCAGGATCCCGCCCAACCCCGCCTCCCCATCGGACTCTGATGTTGTATCTGTGCTGTTTGTGCTTCCATGTTAAAGGAGTTTTTTTGTATAATAGAGTTACTCCCCACTGGGTCTAACTCTGCTATGCCTTTTTTTTTTTACCTACCCCCACTTATCCTCATGTAACACCCTTTTCATCTATCTATTAAGGTAGCGCGACTCATGTTGCGAATGACCGCAGTCACCAATTCTTGTCATGTGCCTTACCAACGTATGTCTGATCTTTGAATTTTGTGTGCTGAAACTCAATTTCGTTTCTCTGTATGTCCTGCACATGTGGTAGAAATGACAATAAATTACTTTGACTTTGAATAGAATTTTTTGAAACAAAAAGTTTCTGCTATTTTATGCAGGAAAAAAAGCAGAAGTCAATAGAAAAAACGTATGCATGGTAGGCAAGACCAGGCAGATGTTTCTGCTGGACATGAACTTGTCTGTCCATTTTGACCTATTAACCCTCCCCTTGTTACAAATACAGACAGACAGGAAATAGCTAATAAGTCAAATAATGGGTCACTAGGTAAAACTTCCACTTCACAGTCCACATCAACTTCATCTTAAACAGGTGAATTAAAAAATATTTTAAATGGTGCAAAATCCATTTATTTCAGTAATGCAACTTAGACTGCCCTGCAAACAGTCAACGTCGCATGGACGTGCAGATGTCTGTAGTGAGTACGTTGGTCCAGACCACGCCTGTAGGACATCCAAACTAGGTCTTTGCACAGGGGGTGAGAGACCATCTAAAGGCTCAACAAAGGCAATGATCGGGCTTTGCATGTAATGAGTCTACCTCATATATTAGATTCACCTTTCAAGCTGAATTATTGAAATAAAATAAACCACAACAGCCTAATAGATTATATAAATGCATGTTCACATTATAAACGTGTGTGTGTGTGTGTGTGTGTGTGTGTGTGTGTGTGTAGGTGTGTGTGTGTGTGTGTGTGTGTGTAGGTGTGTGTGTGTGTGTGTAGGGGTGTGTGTGTGTGTGTGTGTGTGTGTGTGTAGGTGTGTGTGTGTGTGTGTGTGTGTGTGTGTGTGTGTGTGTGTGTGTGTGTGTGTGTGTGTGTGTGTGTGTGTGTGTAGGTGTGTGTGTGTGTGTGTGTGTGTGTGTAGGTGTGTGTGTGTGTGTAGGTGTGTGTGTGTGATGTAGATAACAGTTTCATCAGTGCAGAGCTGACTCCTATTGCATTATATAACATGAAACCCTGATAATCGTCCTTTATGTCTTCTGTAGGACGTGGTAATGCCAGCAATCATGGGCATCTCAAACCTGTTTGTGGAGCACATGCAACTGTTCAACCGAATGGTCGCCCTGATGAGTGAGTTCGGTGACGATTTTCCGCTGGTGCAGGGCCGTCTGATGGAGTCGAAGGCTGTTTTGAAGCAGAACATGGATTTTGTTAACAAAAAGATGGATGAGTTCATTGTGGAGCTCAAACAGCAGGGAATGACCGTAAACTTCACAGAGTGGAACGAGCCCCAGGTCTATCAAAAGCTGAAGTATGAATTATAATTTGTCTAAATGTCCAGTCTGGTAGAACATTTCAGTTCCCTGCATCCGAACGTACAGCTCGGTTTAAACATTTGTAGTGTTTCCTTAAAATAGTGGAATTGTTTCACCTGTCAGGGGTCAAACTGAACTTTTTATTAAAATGTTGATGCTTCTATTAGAAAATGTGGGCAAATTAAAGTGTAACTTTTATCAAGCTTTATACTAGAATTGCAGACTATGTATTTTTTACCGTGTTCTGACCCAAAAGTGTCAAAATAAAGGCCATTTCAACATAAGAGGCATGTGGTAGAAGTTATTAAAAATGTTTTTTATTAACACAAATGATAAACACAAAAGAGAGGAGCACCACTCCACCAGTAATCAATACTTATACTTAATCAGCCAAACACTGTGACCAAACTTAACAGGACTTCATTAAATCATAAACTGTAAGAAGACCTGAAAATAAATACAGGTAAACCCAAAATGTGGAGCAGCGCTCCAACAGTTACTTTTTAGCTAAAAAGGCTATACAGAAGAAAGGACTCTTACTAAGGTTTAGCCCTCTGGTTGAAACTAAAAGCTAAGAAAGTATCAAGGCCCAAGGCTGTTACTTTAACAGAAAAACAAAAAGGTTACACCCAGGCTCCTCAGCAGAGTTGGGAGTAATGCGGTACAAAGGTAATTAATTACTGTAATGCATTGCTTTTTGCTGTAATGTGGTAGTGTAAGGCATTACAGGGAAAGAAAATGGAAATATATTATCATTTTCGACGCTCTTGTGCCCTCTGGTGGTACAACATATATTGCACCCCAGCACAGCAGAAGGGCTTGAAGCAGCTAACCAGGCAAAACTATTTTACCCAGTTTACATTAACAGCAATTAACCAGTTAACTATGTACATCCATAACATTTACACGTTCTTGTTGTAATTTCGGGTGTTTCATGATTGATTTTAATCATTATTATCCTGATATGGAAAGACGGTCTTTTAAAAGCAAAGATTAGAAACATTTTCAAGTTAAATTAAGGCAATTATTCTGGTTTCGAGGTGAGAACGCAACTTTAAATCATAATCTACACATTTTCAAAAGAATTTAAGTTCAGGTGTCTTCTGTTTTGCATGTTGTTGTATCTTTAAAGCAGAAATGGAAGATAAATGACTGCTCTCATGATTTTTAGGATGTGATTGTCATGTTCCTGGGAAGGTGTTTAACCCACGACATGAAGAACCATCACAGGACAAAGGCAGAAAGTTCAAACAATGATTTATTAACCCTAACTAAAAGTGTCCTGGAGATATCCAAGTGTGAAGTAGTTGGCAAGAGTCCAAAAGCCAGCAGGGAGGGCAGACGGTGTGACGGGGTGCATCCAGGAGAGGGAGCCAGATGATGGCGGCAGAGGGCAAGTGAAGAAGGAGGAGAGGTGAACCTTGAGTGTGTAATCCAGGCGAGTTATGGTGACTTCCAGGTAGGTACATCCATCATTGGTTCTGCGATTCCAAGTATCCTGAAGATGAAACAAACTTGAGTCCAAACACCAAAATCCAAAACTGCGACCACACGAATGTCTGAGAATAGACAAAGCAAAACCTAGAACTGAGTGGCAAGATTCTACCGTGAGTAGTTAATCATCCAGCAATGTGAAGTAGTTCCCTCTCCTCTTAAATAGAGCTCTGCTGCGGTTGATTAGAGGATCTGCAGCTGCCGCTGATCGGTAATGCCCCGCAGCTGGTGAGTGCCCTCTCCTGGAATGACAGTCTTACAAAGATGTTGTGGAGAAGAGGGAGTACTCACCCCGTCACACAACAGTGATGCGTAACCAGATGTCGATTTGAAGTTTTTCCTATGTGTCATTCTTTCATTTCCTTTAGTTGCCACTTGGGAAAAAACTCCTTGTGCATCAGTCCAGCAGGAAGGATCTATTACACCGACCATAACTTATTTTATTTGATTCTGTTAAGTTTTATAACCATAATGAAATGTTTCTTTTTAAGCACAAAAGGCCTGCATCAAGAGGACTGAATAAGATTGAACTCATGGCTAACATTCCACGGAACTCATGACTAACATTCTTCTGAACTCGTGTCTAACAGCATCTGATCGTCTAACAGCATCTGACTTTGTGGATGTGACAGGAAGAGGAGGAGCTGTCCGGTCATGAGGCAGGCCCTGCTAAAAGAAGATACCGCCCATAGACAGTAACAGTTCTTAGTGGTCAGAATAGGAGATGCTGTGTCTACTGATTGGTTCAGCATTGTTACCCCTTTGTGTGCTTCAATAATAAATAGTGTCAGCGGGGCAAATTCAGACTCAGGGAGAATATGGTGGTATTTTTGTTTCACACACGTCAATTCTCATTGACTCGTATCTCCTCCGCTGCAGCTAAAAGGTCTTACTCTCAATCCTGTCTCCTGGTGTGATTCATTTCAGGTTGTGGTGTTTTCCACCCTGACAGATTCAATCTGAAGATTCGTTTATTAACAAGAGGAAATGCTTCACCTGAGTTTTGAGTGCTTTAATTACAGGAATCGTGGCAGCAGCAGCTTCATCTGGAGCAGTTTTTGTGGTCAGACCCACCAAAGTTCTGGGGTCTCATTTATCCAACATTGCGTAGAATCCTTACTAAAACCGTACTTAAAGAGCAAGTCACCCCCTACAACAAACTTACTTCACTCCCTCTTCATGTTTGAAAAATGCAACAAATGCTGTTGCCTAGCAGACCGAGAGGGCGGAGCCGCTAACAAATACACACACACAGGCTCACAACGGCATTGTGACATCATAATGTACCAGTTTACATCATAGCATACCTCTTAGCCAATAGTGGTGGCAGATTTAAATTCAAATATAGTGCAGAGTTTTTACCTGACGACGGTGCAACACTGAAAGTTTTAGGCAGAATATTTAAATTTTAACTAAAATGCACTGAAGTACCAAATTATTGACTACACGTGTCTGCAGCACGATTAGACACACATTTATATAGTTTATCAGCAAAAAAAAGTTGATTTGGGGGTGACTTGCTCTTTAAGCTCCGCAAAAAAATGTACTTGAAACTAAACACAGTTTTCTCTTTCTGTTCTGCCAGATAATCAGATCCAATCTGTTCTAAAATTCCCCTCACCCCCTTGTTAAAAAGTTCTGATGTGCTCACTCTGATGGGAAAAGATGTGTTGGTGCCTTTTCATCACCATAGTAACCATAAGAGTGATGCATTTACAGTCGCATATAGCTAATTAATAGAATAGAAAATCCCTTTATTGTCCCTCAGTTAAAAGCACAGCAGTAATTACATTACATTATAAGAACTGAAAGTGCTGAACAAATACACATGTTAAGAAATAAAATTTTAAAAGACTATGTGGAGTAAAAAGATTGTAGAAGGTTTAAAGGGAATGGTAAACACAAATGGAAAAGTGAGAAAATACATTAACAAATATCTTCAGATAGAAAATGTGCAAATCACAAAAACAGCAGAGAAAATAATGTATTTACTGGTTCTGCTGAGAACCATGGTGGTTATAAATCGTAACAGCTGCTGGGAGGACGGACCAACGATAACGTTCCTTCATGCTCCTAGGATGCAGTAGTCTGTCCCTCTTCAGCTCCGCAGCAGCTTCATGCATGAGGGTGGGAAAAAAAGGGAGCACTACACCAAATCACGTTTGACGAAACAAACCTTTTATTAACGCAAAGCATCCCTACGGGAGAGAAACGACAAAATAATATTCCAGAAATGTTCTGACTAAATATGGCCCTTAAACGCTCAGCCTTAACGTGCGCTTATCTGTGCGAAAACTGGGGATTCACCCAGAGAATCAAAATACGAGGTCTTACCAGAAACAAAGGGGGAGCAGACTCAACCAAACAGCAGCCACCCTCCACAACATAACGACACGCGGAAGTAAGGGAAGCCGGCCCCAAAAGAACATGAGGCTTTCCCTGAGGTTACGTCCAAACCGTCTGGATAATACCACGGCTTTTCGAACCCTGCAGCTGGGGAATTCCTGATGGTGTTCAGCTAGAACAGATAATCAGGAATAGATAAACTAATAAAGATGGGAGCGTTCCAGTTTCTGGACTTGGTGTTTGATGCCCTTGTTCCAGAGGTACAAAGAAGGCTTCAGCAGTGATTGGTATGCAAGTTACTTTTCAAAAACATTTGAATTAATCCTGCATGTTTTTCGGGTGACAATCAAAGTGTTGGAAAAAAGGGAGGGGGTGAATCGATATGCAGCTGAGAAAGCCATGCTTCAGCAAATTCATTTGTACCCACAATAAAATAGTTGTGAAATTAAGTGTTTATTGGGTTTTATTGTCTTTCACTCAAAATAAATACCAACTAGCTAGATAGTTATCAGCTGTAGTAGTAAGATTCTGTTGCAATGAGCTGCTGTGATACACATATAGGACAGTGTTATGGATATTTTGTAACAAATGTTTGTTGCTGGTGAGAGAGGAGTGTTGCCGAAATGTTTTTCACTGCTTCTGGGAGTCCTGTACTTTAGCAGTTGGTGCAGGTCAAAGTTCATCTTGGGCTTAACAATAAAGCTGAATATTTAGCAAGTACTATTTTGTTTGCACATCTTGAAAAGTCTTAGATTAATATGCTTTCATTTTTTCCACATATGTTTTTATTCATTTTACAGCCTTTTATTGTTGTAATTATTACATATATGTGCTACTGTCATAAAAATTTTCTGCCTGAAGGACAAAGGGATTTACCATTCAATTTTTATGCAACATAGTTACCAACGTTATTTAAAAGTTTGCCAGTCCAGATTTGAAGAGGAAAAAAAATCCGAAATTAAAAGCTTTTCCCAGTAAGTTTTGTTATAAAAAACTACTTCCTGTGAAAGTTGTGCCTTCTGATTAAGGTAATGACCCACCGTATAATTTTTCTCTTAGATATGTATATGTTTATATACATATCGAAGAGGAAAACAACGCCGTATGGTTTTTCTCGTCAAATCCAAACTATTTCCGGCAAAGGTAATGACTTCCAGCAAAGGTAATGACTTCCAGCAAAGGTAATGACTTCCAGCAAAGGTAATGACTTCCAGCAAAGGTAATGACTTCCAGCAAAGGTAATGACTTCCGGCGAAGGTAATGACTTCCAGCAAAGGTAATGACTTCCAGCAAAGGTAATGACTTCCAGCAAAGGTAATGACTTCCAGCAAAGGTAATGACTTCCAGCAAAGGTAATGACTTCCGGCGAAGGTAATGACTTCCGGCGAAGGTAATGACTTCCAGCAAAGGTAATGACTTCCAGCAAAGGTAATGACTTCCAGCAAAGGTAATGACTTCCGGCGAAGGTAATGACCCGACGTCTTGTTTTTCCGGTTACGTCATTTCCGGTCATGGCAAAGATGCCAGCTGATGTCTGCAGCCAGATGCTTATGGAACTGTTGGCTTTTTGATCAGCTGTGCTGCGACATGGGGGCGGAGCACACGCACCTACTGTTTCATACAGAGGTGCGCTGGCTTTCCAAAGGACGAGTTCTGACCAGAGTATATGAACTGAGAAATGAAATCCATGCGTTCCTCCTGGAGAAAAAGTCCCCTCTTGCTGATCTGTTTACTGATGAGTGGGTTTTTACATTGTCATATCTGGCAGATATATTTTCATTGTTGACTGAGCTGAATTTGAAACTGCAGGGTCTGGGTAGGTTCGCGGCCGAGTGTGAAGCGGCTGGGATGAGGATCAGCACCTCCAAATCTGAGACCATGGTTCTCGACCGGAAAAGGGTGGCTTGCCAACTCCGGGTCGGGAGAGAGGTCCTACCTCAAGTGGAGGAGTTTAAGTATCTCTGGGTCTTGTTCACGAATGAGGGTAGGAGGAATCGGGAGATCGACAGGCGGATTGGTTCAGCGTCCGAGCCGATGTGTTGTGGTGAAGAGGGAACTGAGCCAGAAAGCCAGGCTCTCGATTTACTGATCGATCTACGTCCCAATCCTCACCTATGGTCATGAGCTTTGGGCAATGACTGAAAGAACGAGATCGTGGATACAAGCGGCTGAAATGAGTTTCCTCCGTAGGGTGGCAGGCTCAGCCTTAGAGATAGGGTGAGGAGCTCGGACATTCGGGAGGGACTCGGAGTAGAACCGCTGCTCCTCCGGATCGAAAGGAGTCAGTTGAGGTGGTTTGGGCATCTGGTCAGGATGCCTCCTGGACGCCTCCCTGGGGAGGACGGTCTGGAGCACCCTAGTTGGGATGCTGCCTCCGCGAGCCGGACCTGGATAAGTGGAGGAAGATGAAGACGAAGACGACGACGACGACGAGTTTTGTGCAGTACTCTGTTTAATGTCCAAAGATAAAAGCATTAACCTTACATACATAATTATCAACTACATTTTAAACACCGTTACACTTAGTTGTTTTCTTTGAGGTGTAAAACAACAACTATTCATTATATTTTCAACCTTTTAAAAGTCAATTTGAGATAAAAACAGGAAAAAAAAGGGATGAAAATATTGAAATCTCTTTATGAAATTCTAACTGCTGTATTTGGAGTAATCTAATTATCAACATATAGAGTAAGATTATTTCACTTACCCCCAGCCAAACATCGCTGAAGAATCTATATGGGTCCTGATGAGTGGGGGCAAACTAGATGTACTTCTACATCAGACACTGAATTATTCACTAAATTTCTTGCAGTTAAAAAAAACAACCCTAAACCATTTCTGATCACCTTTCATTTTCCACAGTTTCAATATTTTGAGGGGGTTTCCTCGCTCTTAAATAGCAAGTCACCTACTTACCAGAGTTTTACTCCACCCACATTTGGTGTTTGAAAAATGCACCTAAAGGTGTTGTTGTAAGGTATAAGAAAGAAGAAAAGATCTTTTCTATAGCACCTCTCAAGATAAAAATCACGAGGCGCTTCACAAAAACAAAAAAATGTAAAAATGTAAAAAATAATTTAGAAAATGATTAAAAATATATTTAAAATGAGCAAAAATAGACAATTGTAATTAAAAAAGGAAAAAAAGAGAAAGAGTCAGTGGATCCTGAGGAAGCTGGAAAAGGTAGGGTGAGAAGAACGAGGAGAGGGGGATGAAGGTCACACCAAAACCAGCTTGAACAGGTGAGTTTTCAGCTGCTTTTTAAAGGAGACCACTGAGTCCACTGATCTCAGTCTCAGGGGGAGAGAGTTCCAGAGTCTGGGGGCCACAGCAGTAAACGATCTGTCACCTTTGGTCTTTAGCCTGGTGCTGCACAACCAGTAGGCTTTGATCACTGGACCTCAGGGATCTGCTGGGGGTGTAGGGACTAAGAAGATCACCAATGTAAGATGGTGCTTGTCCATGTAAGGCCCTGTAGACCAGAACCAGGATCTTGAAATGAACCCTGAAGTTGACTGGCAGCCAGTGAAGCTGGAGGAGAAGCGGGGTGATGTGGGTGTGTTTGGAGGACTTGGTCAGAAGCCGAGCACAGGCATTCTGAACCACCTGTAGACGGTTCAGGGAGGTTCTGCTCAGACACGTGAAAAGAGAGTTACAGTAGTCTAAGTGTGAGGAGATGAAGGTGTGGATAACTGTCTCAAGCAGGACAGAAGGTACCGTCTAATGTCTCAGGCTGCTGCTTAGCCAACACTGATGGCTGATTCAAATTCAAATATGGTGCAGACTTTTAACCTGAAGAGGGTGCCACACTGCTGGTTTTATTATTTTAAATAAGATGCACTAGAACGCTAAATGACTACACACGTCCACAGCACGATCAGACACTCATATGTAATGTATCAGCAAAAACAAGTAGATTTAGAGTGACTAGCTTTTTAAGTGTATGCAAGGGCGTCAGTTTGTTTTCAGAATTGCTGGGGACAATAACCATACACTTGAGTGGGGTTTAAAAATTGCTGGGGACAATAAAGTAGGCTAGCACAGGGGTCGGCGGCTCTGTAGCCGCATGCGGCTCTTCCATCCATCTAATGCTCTGTGCTTGTAAAATAATGAATGGATATTTAAATAAAAAGCTTTATATTTTACTGCATTAATTTTACATCTGTATGCTAATTCTAAAAGTAAAGATTGTCTGCGTAAACTTGAACAGTTCCAACCCGGTCTTACTGTGAGACCGGGTTGACGCGTCACGCTTGTGCGTAATCATATGCGCTTCCTGAGCTGGAGGATGTCAGATTCTGGGATTCTCCTCAGACGGCTCCTGGATGCATCGCCACATTGGAGACAGGAACAAGCGCTATTCAGCCAAAGTTTCATAATCAGGGAACATTTTCTAAGTGACAAGTCTCTGAGAGACAGGGTTTGGAAAACACTCGCTTCAGTGGGAGGAACCTTCTCACATGCGCTGTGGTTCTGAGAGCCTGGATTTGTATTCTGAACAGTCTAAACATGTTTTAAAAAGAAACGTATGACAAAAGTGGCACCTGCTCAGTAAAACAACCAACAGGGTGAAAAATATCAAAATATTGTATAGGCAGAGACGGGCTACAACTTCTGGATCATCTTTATATAAATCGTTTTATTGATTATCTTCTTATGAAAGATAACTTTGACGTACACGAGCGACCAGGCGCGTGGGAGATGTTGTCTGTGCCTAAAATAATTTGATGTTATTCACCTTGTTAGTTTAATTTCCATAATAGCGGAGCAGGTGCGAATTTTGGACGCGTCACGCATGTCTCCGTTTTAAACATGTTTAAACTGTTCAGAATACAAATCCAGGCTCTGTCTTGTTAGATTGGTACAACTAAAGTTTGTACTGAATGAAACTACATTAAACCATGTTGAAAAGAAAAGGATCCGATTAAATCGTTTCCCCTCATTTACAGTCACGACGTACAGCGCAGTGCGCGTGGCTCTGGGGTTAATCAAGTTTAATTGTTTCTCTTTGCAACAATCTTCACAAGAAGGCAAAACAGTTAAATGGCAGCTTACAGATATTTCCATTTGACTTTTATTTTGACGGATAAACTCAAGGATGCTGGCTGTTTTGAAAGAATTACTCCGACGCACACTGATGCGCATGGATGAGCTTGGAAAAATGTTCTTTTTATGAAATTATTAAACTTTGGCTGAACAGCGCTTTTTCCCGTCTCTAATATGGACACGCATGACGCATCCACTCTGAGGCAGAATAGCAGCTCAGAAAGCACCCCTAGAGACATTTGATTACGCACAAAGTTTATGTGGAGCAGAAGCGGTCGGGCCACGGCAGGTGAAACGTTCCTAGCCTACATGAAGTGAAACTGTTTAATTGTAACATTAATATGTTACTGGACACGCTGGTCTGGTTGGTTAGACCAGTGTTTGAAGTGGAAAACACACACACACACACACACACACACACACACACACACACACACACACACACACACACACACACACACACACACACACACACACACACCAATTAAAATAATGCTGATAGCATGGACTAGAAGCCAGGTGATGGTTTTATTTAAATGATGATCAGGCTGCTGTAAAATGTAATCTCAATCCACATCCAGACAGAATGATCCTCTATTCTATTTGCTCTGCTCTTGTCTGGACTGATGTAGCTGACGGTGCGCACGGCGCGCCTAACGGCTGTGGTGCACATTTTACGCATTTGGAGAGGTGGGCTGGATGCTTTGCGTTTACTGGAAGATGGTCCACTTAACGCACGGGTGTAGACTACATATTAATGACAAATGAATGAAAATTAAACTGGGAGTTTTTACTTCATATTTTAGAAATAAAAATGACGGGGGAACACATTTATGACGTATTTTTAAACGAAATTTTCTAGCGTGACCTGCCTGCTTCACTATGTCACTGCTTATTAAGGTCCGTCCAGAATTACCGTGGCCCACCCAAAAATGAAAACCTGGCACCGAGCCTGTTATAAACCTCTGCAAATTGTTGTTCTTCACATTATCAAACTCAGTCTTTGTACAGCTAATGTCAAGATGTAAAATTATGAATTCAGTCGAGCTCTCCGTCCCTCCCTCTCCTGCTCTCCTGGAAACCCGACATCGGCTGTCAGAAGAGGGAAGTGAAGAAGGAGATGAGGCAAACAGAGTGAGTGCGACGTAAAGAAACCAGACTGGTGTGGAGGTGAGCAAAACAGCTGGAAAAGTGTGGGTGTTGAATCCCCCACGGGTGCGATGTCCATGCGAGCGACCGGTACCTGCTGCTGTCACCTGGTTGTGAGCAGCCCTCTGCTGTCTGAGGGTAGGCCCCGCCCACAGCGCTGCGGCTACTGCGGTGTTTTCTTTACTGTGGGAAACGGGTAATAATGGCTTTTTGATGGGAACAGGTTGCCGACCCCTGGTATAAGATCTGAGCTGGTAAAACAAAAATCCTCATCAGCAGGCTTTTTTGAAAGTGGGGGGGACACAGCTGCCAATCACAAATTTTGCCGGGGACATGTCCCCGGTGTCCCCGGTTAAAATGACGCCTATGAGTGTATGCATGAAATAATATTCAGAAAATTATTTTTTCTAAAGAATGATCTTTTTACTGGCTAATGTCAATGTAAGAATGATACAATTGTTGAAAACAATTTTCCTTTTAGAATCAACCATACAAAGGTAACTGGCATCTCCTGCAGTACTATCAGCTCCCACTAGGAGGCAGAAGACTTGAGGACGAAACTAATCCTGTTAAAGAGATAGAGGTGTAAGAACTGAATATGTGGAGAATATATGAAACATTTGACTTTGAAGGGTTAAGTTGCCATATACACAGCCAATTCAACATGATAAAGAAACGTGTTTGCTGATTTTAAACTCATATGGGTGGAGCTTTCAGGAAATTGTCCAGGAGTACTACAGTGGAGGAATGGAAGCAGTTGCTTCGAAGGTGAGTCATTATGACGCCTTATTATGGCCAATAAAACATTTTCAGGATGAACTACACTAGTGAATGTGAAATCATGAGTGTGAAAGCTATCTACAAGTTTAACTTGTATTTAATACAGTTTTTTCCCGTTTTATCGTTATTAGGAAGCATTTGAGCATGAACTTACAAAGATCTCAAGGAGTTTTGAGGAACAAATTGAGAAGCTTTTCCCTGTTTGGACTACACTTGCATCGATAGAGGAAAGTGGTTTACAGCAAGAGCTAATGGATGTCATCACAGTTTTTAGCTAATAAGAGGGTGAGGCTTTTGGGAGGGAGATTGAGGATGTTTGGGCCTCAGTAGAACACCTTGAATATGATGATCATGATCAGTGAGTCTTTCTCTTTACATTTTATTTTAAAAAGTAAGCATAACAATTAATAGCTGTTTGGATTTTTGTGGATTATGTTTCTTGATTTTTTTCTGGAGCATCTGAGCTAAACAAGTTTATTTAGGGCATTTCAGATGGCACATTTTTGTAAGTAGATGGATTTCATATTTTACTGTTACTGCTACTGTTAAGATTGTATGTTTTAGTGTTGACAAACAAATAATTTTTATGTTGATTAATTATAAAAATGCACAGATAAGATTAAAAATTTGCATAATTGTTTTGTCAAAACCAGTTTTAGTGTCTCACATCCTATCTGCAGCCCTCTGATGTTTAGCTTTGGCTTTACGTATCCTCAAGTACCTTCTCAGTCAAACCCATCATGGTTTTGGTTGTTTAGATTATTTTGTTGTCCTATTTTTTTAAATACAATTTCTTGTTCTTGTGAAGTGATGTCTAGAGGTGCTTCATAAAATATTGTTTCTCTTTCTAAAGTAAAACATCTTTGAAAGTCTGAAATGTAATTGTATACAAACATCTTTAAAATTTGCTTCTCACTACCAGGAAAACGATTCACATATGTTGTTATTTTACCTGTATTTATAGTTGTGTTCAAAATTATATTTATAAAACCTCTGTATTTGAATTTTGTTAAGAGTGTCAAGTCAGCAGAAGCCCAACAGGTGTCACTGTGGGTCAGATAAATGTTTTTAAAAAACTCAAATGTTTTGAACCCTAAATGAGTCATGTGACTTTATTCACCTGAATCTGTGCTTCTATAAGTGCTATTAACCTGTCCTACAGCTACTTATGAGTTGGCCAACTATCCAGATGTAATATGAAGTTCCATTTCCTATTAATAATTTTTTAATGCATACAAAGACATAAACTTGATAGAATAATTTTTCATTCATACAAATCAAGAAGTAGGAACCTATTTACAGCCAAAAACTGCATTTTAAAGGAGTATCTCTCCTATGAGTAAGTACACTTTGAGCTAATGTTCCACTTGTATAATAACAATTATTTTGACAATTTAAAAAATGAATACACGTGGAAGTGATATAAATTGTCCACTTCCCAAGAATATCCCAGCAACAAAATATAGCCTGTGGATTGTTGTTCTAAACTGTTTTAATCAATAAAATGCGTAAAGACTAAAAGACAACAATAGCAAAAAACAACTTGTTTTACAAGCTCAGGATAATTATCCAGTCAGAACAAAATAAAATATGTTGCTAGCAGGATTTCCGGATTTCATCCCAGATGTGATTTATCATTGGCTAAACGTGTCCAACCAAGTACTCCGATGTGATTGGCGGAAGTTTGGAGTGGGCGGTCGTTAAGAGCGTGTGGGTCATTTACACTACTGAATCAGGATCCGTTTTTTTTTTTTACATTTTTTAGTCAATTAACTAAAGTGGCTGCAGGTGACGTTGTCAATCCTGGAATCAATTCCGTAAACAGGCGGAAAGGAAACGTTTGAAGACACTGACTCACTGTTTTAAAAGATTTATAATTCATAGCTTAAAAAAATGAAAGGTTTGGTAAAGTCAGGTAGAAAAACAGTGTGAGGAAGTGTTGTGTCGAAGAACGTCTTGCTAGTTTAAAGCTGTTGTTCTCTGTGGAGAGTTTACAGCCACGGGAACCAGTTGAATCTGATCCAGGACAGAAGGAGGAACGGACAATACCCTCCAAAGGTAAGAAGCCAGTTTTGATGGACATTTAACGGAAATAATGTTGTGTAACTTTGCTTCAGTGTGATTTGATATTAGCTATTAGAAGTCTACAAACACGTGGTTTGGCAGCGTTGAGTTAGTTTCTTAAAAACCATAATTTCAGAAGGAATCAGAAACAGCTAGTGAAGGTTCTTTGTGATGAACTTCCCCAAAATGAATTTCAAAGCAAAATAAATGTATGAAATAAATAATCTACAGTAACACACCAACATACACTTTTTTTAATCATTGCTCATTATTTTCTAAATATGCAAAAATGCAAACAAGTGTTTAGATTTTATTTTAGTGATTAAAATATTTATTTACATTGATAAAAATATGCAAGCAATTTTTAAACTGGTAATTTTTCATAAATAATAAGACTTTTTTGATAAATGAGGGCTTTACATATAAACTAAATATTCACCTTTTTCATTTATTGATTAAAATATAACAAACTATTGTTTAGAAGGTTTTTTGGACTCTTATGATGATCTGGAAGTTGGTTTCCTGCATCTATGACTCGTTCTTTCGTTGTCTCTTGTGTTAATTTTGTTAAGATTATTTTCTGATGTGCTTTAAAGACACCTACTGGTGATGCCATCCATATGGCTTTTAGTTTTCGTTGTAAATGAATCAAATGAGCTCTGTAACTGCAGTAGTGTTTAAACATTTTGGAAACAGACCAAAGTGGTTAAAAATCAGTCTCAACCATTGTTGTGCCTTGTACATGCACAACTGTACATTAAAGATGCAATCTTGTCAGTGGAAGGTTGTTTTATTTAGGGATGCACCGATGGATCGGCATATGATCCCAGTCGGCCGATAGCGCCCCTATCGGTTTTGATCGGAGTTTTCAAAATAGATCAAAGCAGAGCGATCAGGTGACGTTTACAAGTAAACCGCCACCAGGGCAAGATTTCCTGCTTCTCAGATCCAGGTCTCCTATTGAGGCGTGGTCTCTTCAAAGCATCTACATTGAAAATGGCGTCAACGGTATGGAAGTTTTACAATATGTCCGAAAAGGACAACAAATTAGCAGTTTGCAACGTGTGCGCAAAGGAGATACCCCGAGGAGGAATTCTACAATAGAATTTCAACACAACACACCTAAGACATTTGAAAGTTTCTCACACCAAGGAGTAAACCGTGTTTACTACTTTGGTTGCTGCTAAGTCAGAGAGAGAAAAGCAACGCGCAGCAGCGGCACTGCTGACTCAGCTGAGTGTAACAGAGACATATAAACAACAGCAACCTTACAGCAGCGACAGCAGCAAAAAGAAAGAACTAAATCAGAAGGTAATGGAATTCATATGCCTTGACCATCAGCCGCTTTCTGTTGTCGAAGACATCGGATTTAAACGCCTCATTAACTGCTTGGATCCACGCTACACGCTGCCTAGTCATAAATATTTCACCGATGAATGCCTGCCGGAGCTATATACTATTATCTGCAGTCAGATCCAAAGCCTTTTCCAGGATGTCAAAATTTTGTCAGTCGGCTTTTACGAGTGACATTTGGAGTTCTAGTGCGAGTACCATATCGATGCTGAGTCTAACTGCACAGTTTACTGATGAAAAGTTCGAGCTGAGGAGAGTTGTGCTTCACTCACAAGAGTTTCCTGGATCACACACGATGGCTGCCATCGCTAAAGCTTTCACAGACATGTTCCAAACATGGGGGATCCCAAAGGAAAAAGTACACGTTATCCTACGGGATAATGAGTAACATGGCGAAGGCTATGAAGGATGCTGGTTTACCAAGCCTGCCGTGTATGGCACACGTACTCCAGCTTGTTGTGAATGAGGGTGTTTTGGCACAGCGTGGAGTAATTGACATCATCACAACTGGGCGACGCATGGTCTGTCATTTTAAGCATTCTCCGCTTGCTTACTCCAGGCTATACGACATTCAGAAAGAAAGCCAACCCCAGCAGCTCAAACGGCTACGACAGGATGTCCCCACCCGGTGGAACGGTACTGTTGCTAAGCTAAGAAGTTTAGTGGAACAGAAACGCGCCCTTTGCAGTTATGCAGCCGACTATGATCTGCTTTGCATGTTCATCTCCAGCCCTCTGTCTCAGTCTAGTTTTGCTAAAAGTAAAATTTCACAATAGCTTTGTTTTTTCTTTTCTGTTGGCATTTCTTTTCAAATTCGATTTACAAATAAGCAGTTATGTAGACAATTATAGAATAGAATAAACATGTTAGGACTGTGCCATGAGGCCAGCTAAGCCCATGACTAATAAAAACACAAGCTAAGCAAGATCTATGAAATCCATCATGACAGATTAGTTTTCGTTTTCTGTTTTTCTTCTAACAAAAAAAGGTATAGAACGGTTTTTCCACACCGCACTCAAGCCACAGATACACGGGCTGCTCTCTGACATCCTGAGCCGGGCCATTGCAGTGGAGCAACAGATTGGTGAGGAGAGTTCTGCAGCGAGCAACTCCTAGCCCCCACAGAAAGTACCACGGACTGGCTTGCATGCAATGTATGCTGACCTGTTGGCTGAAGATGGCCAACATGAAGCTGCTGCTGACATCAGCTGACCTCAACACCACATCAGCAAAGATTACTCTTTACCTATCGGAGCCAGTTATTCCAGATCACAAACAGCTGCTTGATTTCTGGAAAGCCAATGAGCACCGATTTCTTGCTCTTGCACAAACAGCACGTTCCTATCTTGGGTTGTCACGGTAACCGGAATAGCGGTAAACCCCGGTAAAAAAGTTGACAATAAAAATAACCGTCCAGATTTAAAAAAAACTAAATTATCTCGGTGGGTTTACCGTGGCCGCGGTTTAGGCGCGGTGACCCTTACCAGCCACCGTCGCTTCTGCTGAAGTTCCCGCGGCGCGCACACTCACTTTTTAGTTTGCAACCAAAACTTTGAAGCTGAAATAATGGCCGAAGGAGGAGACGCAGCGCCCAGGAAATCCATCAGCCCTCAAAGAAGACTAAATCGGAAGTATGGGCATATTTTGGATTTCTGAAAAATGCTGAGGGACAGTTAATAGAAGACTGCTATCCCGTTTGCAGAACGTGCAGGAAAAAAGTGTCTGCAAAAGGCAGCAACACTTCGAATCTAATGGCACATCTGCCTGACCATCACCCACGTCTCTACAGCCACTGCAAGGTAAGTTAACATTAGCATTTTAGCTTAAATGCATGATGTGAGGACTTTTGGTTGAGGGAGAATGCAACGAGTCACTATATACTGCAGCCGCAGCGTCCTCTGCCAGCATTTAAACCGTGTCACGGACACCCTGTTGCTGGATGAAGCATCTTATTTGTTGATGATGAAGAGAAATATACAATTAGTTCCTTGTCATTGACTTGTTTACTTATTCAATGCCATTTATACTTATGTTTATGTTTATGTATTTAGCAGACGCTTTTGTCCAAAGCGACTTACAAGTGATAAACGACATTTTGCCCTTGAGGCTAACAACAATAGTAACAACAACAAATTGACATCAGTCATGGAGAGGAGGGAACAAGGAGTGGACAGTAGAGAGGGGGGACGGGTGCAGGGAGGGTGCTAGTTAAGAAGATGCTCTCTGAAGAGCAGGGTCTTCAGGAGTTTCTTGAAAATAGAAAAGGAAGCCGCAGTTCTGGTAGTGTTAGGAGGAAGGTAATTCCACATTTGTGGAACGATGCATGAGAAAAGTCTGGATTGTCATGAGCGTGGTGTAGGCACTGCTAGTCGACGATCCTGTGATGACCGGAGCGGCCGGGCCGAGACGTAAGCCTTTGCAAGAGGATTCAGGTAGATGGGAGCCGAACCGTCTCGGACTTTGTATGCTAGTGTTAGCAATTTGAATTTGATGCGTGCTGCTAGCGGTAGCCAGTGGAGCTCAACGAACAGAGGGGTGACGTGTGCTCTTTTAGGCTGATTGAAGACCAGACGCGCCGCTGCGTTCTGGACCATTTGAAGAGGTTTCACAGTACAGCCTGGAAGACCAGTTAGAAGAGCATTGCAGTAGTCGAGGCGGGAGATGACAGTAGATTACACCAGGAGCTGGGTGGCATGTTGTGTTAGGTATGGTCGGATCTTTTGTATGTTGTACAGCGCAAAGTGGCATGAATGGGCAACAGAGGCAACATGATCTTTAAAGGCCAGGTGTTCATCAATCACAACACCCAATTTCAAACTGCCTTTGAAGGAGCCAGAGATAGGAAGTAATTCTGGATTGAGATACTGTGCTGTATGGATGGTTTTGCTGGGATGACAAGCAGTTCAGTTTTAGAGACGTTGAGTTGGAGATGGTGGGATTTCATCCATTTTGAGATGTCAGAGAGACAGTTTGATATTCGTGCTGAGATAGTGTGGTCGTCCGGTGGAAATGACAGAGCTGGGTGTCGTCTGCATAGCAGTGGTAGGAGAAGCCATGTGATTGAATGATCTCACCCAGTGAGGTGGTGTATATGGCAAAGAGAAGAGGTCCCAGTACAGAGCCCTGGGGGACTCCTGTGGCAAGGTGGTGCACGGTAGAGGACTCTCCAAGCCAGGATACGCTGAATGATCGTCCTGTGAGGTAAGATTCAAACCAGGCGTGTGCTTTCTCTGTGATGCCCATTCTAGAGAGTGCGGACAAAAGGAAGCCATGGTTGACAGTGTCAAATGCAGCCGATAAGTCGAGCAGAATAAGCGCTGAGGATTTGCCAGTCACTCTAGCTTGAACATTTGGATTTGATTACATAGTGTAGTAGTTATTTTAGTAATTTGTTTAAAGTGGCTATTTATTTTAAATACATATTTTTTTAAGGTTGACTTGTACAGTGCTCAAGTCAAGTGTGGACTGGAGTTTTAGATTTTCATTTTGATAATGAAGAAAACAAGTATATGAGAAAACAAGTGGTGTTTCTTTGATTTGTTTACATAATGTTTATGTTTTGAATGTTTGGATTTGTATAATTTAAACCTGCACTGACTACTGTAACATGTTCCAGAAAAATAAGCTATTTGTTCCTTTACTTGTGAAAAGTTGCACTTTTGCTAAGGCTTTGTGTTATTTTAGGTTTAATAAACACTGTTAAACCTTTTCAAAACTATTTCAGTTTGTGTAGAACATGACTATCAATGCTTTCTGAATATATGCAACACCGTTTAAAAAATACCGCGATAATACCGAAAACCGTGATAATTTTGGTCACAATAACCGTGAGGTTAAATTTTCATACCGTGACAACCCTATTCCTATCTATGTTCACCTTGCACAAGTGTAGATAGCGAGCATCTTTTCAGTACAGCAGGACTTATTATCAGGGGTGCACATAATATTTTTGGGTTGTACTCAGGGGAGAACCTATGGTTGTCGCTTGGTCCTCACATTTTTTTAATGCACTTAATTCTTAACTCACAATAGGAACAAAACAGAGTAACGTGTTGATGATGCAACATATTTTAATTTGGTCTGAAAACAATAAGTACAACCGCTATATATTGCCAGCTGAACTTAAACCTAATTTTCAAATAACATGACTGAATCGTCTGAATGTAAAACACAATGTGTAAACAGCTGCTTTTGAGATAACAAATCAAATAAAATAAATTTTAAAGCACTTAACAAAATTACTATTTCAGAGCACTGAAGTTTTTTTAAAATGGCATAAATGCCGTTTTTATTTCTACAGACTCATCATCCTCATCATGGTCCTGACTGCGTTCAGCTTCATTATTGACTTCCCAAACAACTTTCTGATGTTCTCTGCTGTTAGTATGTTTATCAAACGCTGGATGATTGAAGTTTTTAGTGCCTATGTAAAAGGCGCTGTTTGTCTGCGAGGGTGGGATTTTCACGGCATAATCTGCACCAAATCTCTGTGTGTTCGTTTGAAGCCAGCTGACCTCCTGCAGCCACTTCTCCGTGAATACTCTTCTTTTGCGGTTCCAACTCAGTCTGACGTTTTTTTGGAGGCGGAGGTGGCACAGGAGTTAAGTGCTTGCCCCGTAATCGGAAGGTTGCTGGTTCGAGCCCCGCTCAGTCTGTCGCTGCCGTTGTGTCCTTGGGCAAGACACTTAACCCACGTTGCCTGCTGGTGGTGGTCGGAGGGACCAGTGGCGCCTGTGCTCGGCAGCCTCGCCTCTGTCAGTGCGCCCCAGGGCAGCTGTGGCTACATTGTAGCTCATCCCCACCAGTGTGTGAATGTGTGTGTGAATGGGTGAATGACTGATTGTGTTGTAAAGCGCCTTGGGGGGTTCCAGGACTCTAGAAGGTTACCTGAGGGAAAGTTCAACATGCAGGGGTTATATTAATAAGCCGATCGATTAACCCATACCAATCTTTACCAATAAACAATTTACACTTTGCAAAGTGGAGAGAGATGAAATGATTCACACTAGTCGGTAGGCAATTCGCTCTCAGACAGAACTCTCAGAAAGCATTTATTAAGGACACACAAAATGGTAAAACGCACACACATTTACACACATTCCTTTAGACTCTCTTTAGGGAGACAACAGGCGCTGGCAAAGGGCGTTCTTACTGATAAGCCAGGACTGGAAAGAGGCAAGGTCAAATGCATGTCTGTTGCTAGAGTAAAATAAACCGTATGAAGCTTTCGAAAATAAACTGGATAAAGCTTTCATTTAAAAAATAAAATAATGTATCCATAATTTATCCAACAATAAAAGTTCTGAAAATAATAAAAACTTTAATTATAAAAAAAAGCCCTTCACTGCCAGCGTTTTTCAGCATTTTTACTGGGTTATTTTACGAGCCACAGAACATTGCTCCCTAGGATGTCAATGCCAAAACTACCAAAACAAAGAGACGCCGATTCTTCCTTATGTAAGAGGTGTGTTTTGAGCATTATCCGTTCTTTCAGAATCAGTTGTCGAATTGTGATCGGCAGCTTTTCTGGTTTGCGCCTTTTTTAAACAGCAGCGGTCCAAAACGATCCAACAAATGGATTTTCTGCTTCCTGATCACGTGACGAATCGTGAATGAAGATCGGCTTCAGAGCTGGGAGGTTCTCATGGTGTTGGGGCTCGTTCTGAGGCCCACACTGTAAAAAAAAATGCAAATGACTACTTTAGTCGTCAATGACCGAGAATGAGTTAAAAACCTCTCCCACCCACTTCATACCACTGTGGAGACTATGGACAGCTCCTTCAGAGGCAGACTGACATCCAAGATGTAAAACAGAATGTTACCATTGGTCATTCATCCCATCTGCACTAAGAGGGTATAACTCACTTTTGAAAAGGTGACAGTAGCAGTATGCAGTCTGAAACAGGTGGGTTTTGAGTCTAGATTTAAAGGAGGAGAGCGAGTTAGAGTTACGGATGGCTTGGGGGAGAGAATTCCAGAGACAGGGAGCAGAGCTGCTGAAAGCTCTGCTCCCCATTGTGCTGAGACGGAAAGGTGGGACAGAGAGAGTGCTAATAGATGATGATCTGAGGGAACGGGTGGGAGACATGATGTGAATGAGGTTACATCAAAGTGCTTTGGAGTCCTCAGACTTAGACGCTATTCAAATGCACTTATCATTATCATTCGTCATACTCTTCATGTTCATACTTTCCAGTTGAGCCAACATTTCTAAAAATCCTTTTGTTGCATTGGCCTTTGATATTTAAATTTTCTGAGATTCACAGTTTGGGACTTTAATTATTTGTCAGTTATAATCATCAAAATTGAAAGAAATAAACATTTGAAATATATCAGTCATTGTGTAGTGAAAAGATACAATATAAAAGGTTAACTTTTTGAATGGAATTACTGAAAAAATAATAACTTTGTCATATTTTCTTTTATGACCAGCACCTATATGATCCAGTCACACCACCGATACTGCGCTAGTGTGGTCATATTTTCTTGCTACATTGTAACATGTTTAGTTTTGGTTTGTGCCAGGATGAAGCCAAGTTATGTAATTTCAGTTGAACATGGAGTTCTTTTGGAGGAACATGCCATTATAAATTGGTAAGGGATCGGGAGAGTGTTCAGATTAGGAAATATCTTGTTAAACCCTACCAAGTGTAGCAGCTTTGTGATGGCCTTCACCCTGAAGGTTTTTGAAGGTTTCCGGAATTCTGCCACATTCGAAACGGTCATTAAGGCTTGGTGTTCCTAGCTCATTGTGCAAAGTGAAAATCTCCTTTGAAAATATTACTAATTAGTAGGTATGTAAGAAAATATCGATATGGCAATATATCGTGATATTTTTCCCAGCAATATTATATCGATATTCAAAAGCCGTGTATCGGAAATATCGATATGGCAATATATCGTGATATTTTTTCCTGTGGTTATTACATCGATATACAAAAGCCGTGTATCTAATTCTTTAAAGAATTTACATGCAAACATTTGTGTATTTTCTTTTCGTTTTGTGCAATCCAATCGCCACCCGCTAGTTGGCAGCAGTGTGCAACGGGTTTTGTTTCCACCATTGAAATGTAAATCCCTCCATCATGGTTCAGATACTTCATGTTAAACATGTTAGGTATCAGTTTGGACTGTTCATTGAACATTCTTACAATAAATTCAGAAAAAAATTGCTTGTTACGTCTGACTGAATGTATTGCAATATATCGTGATATATCGTATCGTCTCCCCTGTATCGTGATATGTATCGTATCGCCAGAATTTCAAAAATACACATCCCTGCTAATTAGTACACATTATTATTAGATTCCCATAACGGTGAGTACATTTTATACTCCATAATTCATTTTCAGCTATCTTCCCAAAATAAAAAAACAAAAAAGGAACAAGAATACTTTTTGCTCATTCATATGAAGGTTGAATTGGCTTACAAATGTCTTCATTATACCCCACTGTATTCTTTAGTGTTGATCCATTCCTATGTTTGTGCCACTGAAAACAGGAGGAAAACGATCTGCCTCTAGCCACCATTCTGCAGGAAGCAACAAAGATTGAGTCATTGCTAACATGTAAGTAGAAATTAGTCCAGTTCCTGCATGATTATGTATGTTTGAAGTTGAGATGTATTTTAACCTGCAATTCAAACTGTCTCAACAGTCTGTCCTTTATTCTTTTTATGTCCACTTGGGTGATTCCTTCCTTGTGATCTGCTCTTTAGCCTTTAAACAGCAATTTCTTCCTTTTCATGAAGTTCTTAAATATTTGTCCTTCAGCATCCTCCTCCGTTACTCCATGCCTACTACCACATCTTTGTGTTAACTGCTTTTCTAACACTTTGTCCTGGAACGTTCTCATTATTTTAACTTCCTCTAGATGCACATCCAACTCTTATCTTGTGGTACAAATTTCCACAATGTTACACGTTCAGTCTAGAGACACCAGAGTCATTATTTTTCACCTCAATGGTTCTCCTTAGAATTTTCTTTCAAACTGAGCATCAAAACAAATGCTCTCTACGCCATAGGAAAACAGATTTACTAGCTCTATCTGGTCTCCTGAACATACCTTAATTTCCTCCATCAGCAATTTATCTCCTTTTAACAGTCCTTTACATTCTATCCTCGTTCATAACCTCTTCTCTCCAGTGTTCCTCATTCTATTTCATTACAAGTGGTAGCTTCTACATTTTATACCAGTTTTTTGTTGGTCAGTGACAAGCGTTTGTTCCACCCTCAAATAGTAAAGATTTACATCAATGTAAATTTCTATTTACACAAATGTGTCACAAGTAAATCAGTCATTTTAATGAGCAAGTCACCCCCAAATCAACTTTTTTTTTTCTGATAAACTGATAAATATTCTGCCTAAAATTGTCAACGCTGTGCCCTCTTCAGGTAAAACTTCTGCACTATATTTGAATTTATCCCTTTGATGCATAATGGTCACTACATTGGACAGGTACTCAAAATTGTTCTTTATTTTTGCTATTAAGCACAGCTGTTGAAGACTTTATTGCATGTGAGCCCCTCCATTTGGACTTCAGTAAGTCAAGCCACCGTATTTCATGTTCAGAATGCACACTGTCCACTGAGATGGACATGTAATAAATTATATGTAAATTAACAAAATGTTACAAAAAATATTTGTTGAAATTTGTTTCATTCACACCTAAAGATGAATGAAAAAACTTGTTTAAAAAATCATGGTTGAAGATCACATAATTCATGCATCAGAGGGTTAAATCTGCCATTGCTATTGGCGAAGAGGTACCCTATGACATCAGCTAGTACTATATGATGTCACAATGCTGCTGTGAGCTTGTGTGTGTCTGTATTTGCTAGAGGCACTCAGTCTGCTGGGCAACGCCTCCTAGTGGCACATTTTTCAAACCAGAATTGGGAGTGGAGTTGGACTCTGGTAGGGGGTGACTTCCTCTTTAAGCATCTATCTTTCTGTTAAAATGTTTTTGTTGCTCTAGCACAGAGGATATCACAGATGCCATGGCAGTACTTGGAAAATTCCTGAAGCTATTCATGTTTGTGGGATTACTGGTTTTTACCAACTTTTTCTTTTATCAATTGGACAAGTCACAACAAAAATCTGGTAAGTGTTGGTGTTTACTGCGGTCCCTTGCTATAATTCACCTGTCACAGCCTCCGTTTTACGGATTTGTTTTGCATGCATTTGTTTTACAACACATTGTGTTCTGCATCCACATGAGAAATATGTTTGAACTTTAGAGTAGTGTGAATATGTTGATGTCTGACTGACTAAAGTGTGTAGTGAGGGGTTTTACAGTCACACTGTGGCTGTGCGCTGGGATGAGCACGTCTGCATAAAGCTGCGTTTGCTACAAACATCTATAATTAGTAAAACAATTAAGCTGACTACTATGGATTTTGCCTATTGTGTTATTTTTTGAGTGTAACTCCCATGATAAAAATGGAACCATTGTATTAAGTAATCTCTTGTAATCTATTCTCCATTTCTAAATAAATCTTGCTTTTCACTCACACGATTTAGCATCTGAAGTTGGAAGATTCTCTACTTGCATTTTCTTTGTTTGTTGTTACAGTTAACTGGATTCAATGGCGACAGCATTTAAGAAAGAAGCAGATGAAAGAAATGTGTGAGGGATTTTCAAAAAGTAAATATAGTGTAGACAATATGACTGCAGACATGTTTGAGAACTTTGTTGTGGACGACACTCACAGACTCATCTACTGTTATATCCCCAAGGTGATGTATGCAACACACACGCAACTGCATTTCTTTGGTTTGTGGATTCTTTGCAGAACGATTAACCTATTCTTTATTAGGAACATCACCAAGATGGCGCCAGCATGTTCGGCAGGCCGTCTATCCGTCCATGGACTCTTTCTACTTTTTATTTTTCTATGTTTTGTGCTCTCCCTGGGAATTTGAGAATTTAATTGACTCTTGTGGACTGACTCAGTTGGTTGACTTCCCCACTCATGGGGGGTTTTCACATATTGGATTTAGTTTTTTCTTTTGGTGTTAATATAACAGAGGTCCGACCTGATGTTTTTTCTCTGTCTGATCATGTTCCTGTTGTGTTTTCTGTGGATGTGGCCCGGCCTGTCTCTCCTAGGCAGGTGGGGATTTGCCGTGCTCGCTGCATTGCCCCTTCCTCAATTGTTGAGTTTTCTGCTTTTATTTTCAGATTTTTTGTTTTCCTATGAGGATTCTTCTGATCCTGAGATCCTCCTGTCCCTCTTTTCTGCCTCTTGCACTTCCGTGCTCGATCAGATTGCCCCTTCTACGTTCCCGCTGTTGAACTGACCCTTGGCTCAATGTTCATACCCGTACTGCTAGACGGGGATGTAGGAGATATGAGCGGCGGTTGATGAAGGTTAAATCTCCGGCTTCCTTCCAGCTTCTTCGCGAGGCCTGGAGGAATTAAAAACGCGTCGCTCGGAAGCCCGTTTTGACAATTTTTCTGCTATTTTTATCGAATTTTTGGATAACCAGCGAGTCCCCTATTCCACTGTTAATGCAGTTTTGTCACCCAATGCTCCTCTGCTTAATACATCTGAGGAAAGGTGCACCCAATTTTTGCATTTTTTTTATCTCTAAAGTTGCCACAATTAGGGCTCAGATTCTGCCTCCCTCTCACCCAGAAGCCCCTGTTTGTTCTCCATTATATTCCTTTGAGTGTTTTTCTCCCGTCTCTTCTTCCTCCCTGTGGAAGACAGTGACTGCTATGAAGCCCTCTGGCTCTCCTTGTGATTTTTTGCCCCCTCGCTTCCTGAAGGAACTCTTCCCAGTAATTGCTCAACCGATCCTGGAGATCCTTAATGCAAGCCTTAGGATGGGGATTGTTCCCCAGGAGTTTAAGCATGCGGTGGTCCAGCCTGTTCTAAAAAAGCAAGGCTTGGAGTCTTAACGACTTGAACAATTACCGTCCTATATCTAAGCTCTTTTCTCTCAGCTTTAGAGTGGTTCCACTCCTATTTCAATGGCAGATGCTTTAATGTTGCCCTGGGGAATTGTGCCTCTAGAGTGGCACCTCTTTTTTTGTGGGGTTCCCCAGGGGTCCGTTTTAGGTCCGCTTCTTTTTAAACTATATATTTTACCTTTGGCAGCCATTTTTAGAAAATTCCTGGTAAATTTTCATCTCTACGCTGACGATTGTCAGCTTTATGTGGCCCTAAAAACTGCTGACCATGTGAAGTTAGGTCCTAGCTCTCGGCTAATTTTCTCCATCTTAACAGCTCCAAACTGGAGGCTATTTTCTTTGCTCCCTGCTCCCCGTCTGCTGTGGAGCCATCTCTGCCCCCTTCATTGTCAGTTTTGGTGAGGCAGACAATTACAAATTTAGGGGTCACTCTGGATGCTTTTAAAAAAATGGATGTACAGATGAATCAGGTAGTCAAGTTGTGTTTCTTCTTCGCCAGCTGGCCAAACTAAAATCTGTCCTGAACAAAAATGATCTTCAGTCAGTTCATGCTTTTGTAACGTCACGTCTGGACTATGCCAACTCTTTTATATGGTATTCCCTCCTCTTCAGTGGTATGCCTCCAATTGGTACAGGATGCTGCCGCAAGGTTTCTTACGGGCATTGACCGACGGCAGCATATCACCCGTTTTGGCAAATTTACACTGGCTTACAGTTCGGTTTCGTATTAAGTTCAAAATTATCCTGTTGGTTTACAAATCTATTCATGAAATGGCCCCCTCTTATTTGGCACATCTTTTGAGCCCCTATGTTCTGGCACGAACCCTGAGGTCCTCTGTCTAGCACCTTCTGCTTGTCCCTCCTGCCCACTATATGGCCTGTTGCGAACGGGCTTTTTCAGTTTGTGCACCTAAACTTTGGAACCAACTCCCCCTGATGGTCTGACTTGCCCCCTCCCTTCCCACTTTTAAAGTACGTTTAAATACATATTTCTATTCCCTGGCCTTCCCGGCTGAGAATGTTTAACCCTTGCGCTTTCCTGTTTTTTTATTTTATTTTATGCTGCTGTATCTAGTTTGGTGATGTATTGTCTTGTACAGCACTTTGGTTGGCGTTGGCGCCGTTTCAATGTGCTTTATAAATAAAGGTTGATGATGATACAGTCGAGGGCAAACTGCCTAGCATTACTTGAAGGAATGTATTAAACTGACTGTGGCAAATTAATGGAGTTTGAGCAGTTTTGGAGTAAACATTTGCAGTGAGACATGGATTTATGCAGTATTTGGAGATATCTAGTGATTTGTTTATGATGGGAGTATGTGATTGACTCAGTTACTCCCACATCAGATTTTTGCTCGGTCTGTAAAATCAGTTTGATAGTGAGGACTCTGCTACTGTCAGATCAACTTTTAGATCAATATCTGCAAGATTCATACAGCCCCTTTGCTAATGTTGTTCAGCTATGGTGACCTAATTAAATTAGGTTGACTACAAAAGCTTATCAGTTGTAGAGTATTGTGAATATAATCTTAGCGATTACTTTCTGAGAATCAATAAATCTTGATGCTTCATGAGATTTTTCTACCCAGACAGAAATACCAAAACATCATCACTCACCTTTTGGCTATTCCATTATTTCTGTTTGTCTAAAAATTACATTTTTCTTTTTTATAAATATTTCATCATTGTCATAAAACTTTTCCGTGACTTGAGTTGTATTCTGTATGAGCTGTTTGATGACTGCATTACAAAACTTGACATAATTGAATGGAAAATGACCTGAATAACAGTATTACATGTTCTCTACTGGTCAGAGCCACCAATTGAGTGTTCATTCCACCCTAGACTAAATTAACATCAATTTACAGGTCTATTACTAGTAGGTAATTAAAAGTTGATGCTTTTCCATAAAGATCATAAGGTGCTTAAAGGGAGAGGGATTTACACAAGCATCTCACATGAGAAAATGATGGAAACACCTGCTTACCATGACTGGACTCTTTTTCTTTTACAGGTTGCATGCACTCAGTGGAAAAGAATCATGCTTGCGCTGAAATTAGGCAAGCCATATCCTGACCTTTTGTCCATTGATCCTTCAGTTGTCCATGGCACTAATCGTCTCAGTTACCTAAATGACTTTGACACAAATGAAAGGATGGTAAGTAAAGTGGGTTGTGTAGTTTTTCTGCAAACCAGAAATATGCCTGTGTGTTTCTAAGTGGATGTCTTAGTTTCAAAGCCAACCAGGGTCAACAACTGCAAATTAGCCAATTCCAACCAATGAAAGTAGTCTGAAATGCTTTATCATACAGGTGAAACACGAAAAATTAGTAAATGGTGCTAATGTCCATTAATTTCAATAAGTTAGCTTAGACTGCAAGACCATCTAAAGGCTCACAAACCCTTTGCAAGTGTTTTGGATTCATTATCTAAATAAAGTGTGACAATTTGAGTCAAGAATATTGAACGTTTTCAAAAAATTGCAGTTGTGACTTCAAATGCTTTCATAAGCTGTAAGCCATAATCACAATTATAACAAAGGCTCGAAGTATCTGGCTTTGCATGTAATGAGTATCTCATACATTAGTTTCCCCCTTAAGCTGAATTTCTGACAAGTGTACTTTAGCACCATATTCTAATAGTTTTGAGTTTACTTGTAAATATTTATAGTGCAAAACATTTTGATGGTAACTTACAACGTATGATCTGCAGGAGCGGATGGAAAACTACACCAAGTTTCTGTTCGTTCGGGACCCATTTTCTCGTGTTGTCTCAGCTTTCCGTGACAAATTTGAGTATAAACATCTGCATGAATACTACTATGAGATCTATGGCAGATTTTTCCTGAAACGATATGGTAATCACTCCAATCCACCCAGGACAATGAGTGAAGCAAAATCATTAGGCATCCACCCCACGTTTCAAAACTTTGTTCAGTTCCTGGTGGATCCAGCAATGGAGAAATACTTTGATCCCCACTGGACGCAGATGCATCGCCTGTGTCACCCCTGCCTCATACAGTAAGGACAGCTTACAGCCCTGCAAGGCATATGCTATAAAACAAAACTCTAAATGAGATTAATTAAAGCTATCACTTTGTTCTTTTTAGATATGATTTTGTTGGTCATCAGGAAACTCTTAAGGAGGATGCTCCAGAGCTGCTGAAGAAGTTAAATGTAGCAAATGATATAAAATTCCCTCCTTCCACCAACATCAACAAGACAACCCTTGAATGTGTCAGGAACATGATGAACACTGTTCCCCTGGAGGACAGGAAGAAGATGTACAAGGTTTATGAATGGGACTTCAAACTTTTTGGCTATAGAAGACCAAAAGAATGGCTCGATGATTGAATCACATTATTTGGTTAATTTAATACAGCCACTGGGAAAAATGTGACATCATGGAAACACGTGTTTTCTATCTATCTTGAATGGGGCTTTGTCGTCAGTGATAAAAGCACCACTCAGTTTTTTTGTGTTGAAGGAACAAATTAAAAATAAACAAAGGTGAAGTTCTCAAGTTACTGGCTTGTCTACATTCCAGTTATGTGGTTTAGGGGCATTAAACACTGAGCCTGGAGGTTTGGTATCCAGCATGTCTTAGTTTAAACACATGATTTCAATCAGCAGGTGATTACCCAGCTTCTGCAGAGCCTGATGAGCTGTTGCACAAGTGATTAAAGTGTGTTGAATCAGAGAAACCACGAAAACGTGCTGTATACTGGACCTCCAGGACCGGAAATGAATAACCCTAGTTTAGATCCTGAGTAGTTATAAAAATACAGAAGGATCTCTGATGGCTGAAATGAGATTTACCCCATAAGGTGGCTGGTCTCCACCTCGGAGAGTTAAGAAATGGTCATTGAGGGAGAACTGTGAAAATATTGACTTATCCTCTGTATCAAATGGAAACTGCTCAGGTGGTTGGGGTATCTGACTAGGACAGCTCCTTCTGCCTGAGGTTTTCTGTGTACGTCCACTCAGAAGATAAACATGGAGTTGACCCAGAACTCACTGGAGATGACAAAAAAAATCCTCTGACCTGGAGACTCCCTGGGATTCCCCTGTGGCTCTGGAGAGTTGCTAGGCAGAAGAATGTTTGGTCCTTTGTAGGTGGGAAATGAATGGTTTGGGAGATGTTTTGTGAAATGGGAACATTTAAAAAAATAATAAACTCATCTTAAAAGGAAAGCGTTTCATCACTTCACTCACCCATCACACATTCATTCTCTTAAAAATTATCCTGCAGTGTGCAGAATAATTATTTTGCCTGACAAACGTTAGTCAGTGCACTCATTCTGGCATGTGTTAACAAGTTTATGAAGGGTGTTCTCACCGTTTGAGCTTCAAATCTCTACGTATCTAAACCCCTGGGTACCTATCCTCACCCCTGGATGATCAGAAAATCCTGGATTATCTCGGATGAGAGGGGGGGGGGGGGTGTTGATTCATAAGGTAATGTGTCTGTATGATAAGGTCTGTATATTATATCATTCCTTTTATGACTAAGAGGTTGGTAATAGGCACACTTAAAAATTGTATTTAGAATGATTTTATTAAAAGCAAGTGTAAAAGTCACACAAAGAAAATAATTCCATTTCTATTTTGATAATATAAAATGGCCAATGAAGATTTAAAAATGTGCCAATAAAAACTAAATATCTAAAGTCAGATAAAAACAATAGAAAAATACTTACATTTTTACAAGCCGGTACAAACTTTGAACCTTAAATCAACATGAAAGGCGTACAAGTGTCTTTTTCCTGCTCAAAATCTGCATGCACGTGAACGGCAAAGATGATGAAATAAAATACAGTGAAAAGATAAATAACAGAAAATTGTTTTAAAAGCAGCTATAAAATTTGAACCTCAAGTAAACATGAAATGCACATTAATAAGTGCCTTTTTACTCCTTCACAAAATGTGCTTACGTGAAAACTACATGTCAGTTTTTTCCCTCATCTGCAGTTCCTTGTCCACCACACTTTTAAAGTGTTCATAGCTTTCACAAACACTTTCAAAGCCAGGTGTGATGGACTTGGTGGCAGGGCAAAATGTGAACAGTTCCTGGCTGCTCCCTGACACTTTGCCCTTTGACGGCGTCTACCTCTTGCTGTTTCCTCCACACAGAGCTGATTTGCATGCAGCACAGGGCCTCCACGATCTGTTCAGCATTAATGGTATGACGGCTGTTTTAGTGGTGGTTTGACAGGGACAAAAACCTGAGTGTAGGACGGCCCAGTAAATGGAATAGAAAGAACCTGTGGCTGGGTTTGAACCACCAGGAGTATTGGTGCAGGTGTAATCGCTGGTGGCACGCAGGAGGCTGCAGCAGGAGTCTTTGGTTGTGCAGGTTGTCCAGACGGACCTGGTCCAGGCTGTGGTTCTTCAAAGTCTAACCTGTAATTGTATAGAAAAACACAGGAGATAATGAGTAATAATTTATGTGCATTACCTTTTGCTCTTCACAAAATATAAAATAGACGTGCTATAACAGCTTAGCTCATTTCTCACCACGCCTTTTACCAGAGACATGGCAAGGCTGCTCATACTGCACTTCAGCTCTCACTGATGGCCGCAGTGACGGTGGCAGAGCAGGAGCTTCTGAGCTGTGGGGTTTGGCTTTTGGCAGTACTGTTGTCATGTAGTTGGCTTTCTTCTCCTCCCGCACCAAGAAGTTTGAGATGGACTTCGTGTTTATATTTGGCAGTGGGACGGAGAGGCTGCCGAGGATGGGATCATCCCTGACTCGGTCGGCTTTCCTTTTATACTGGGTCTTGATGGAAGGGGAGAAGCGAAGCGAAGCGGTTGGAGGGTGTTCGGTTTTTAATCATTTTGTTTTTGTATTTGCTTCACAAAGGTGATGTGGTGAGAAACATGAACTTTGACTTAAAATGAAGAACTGAAAGTGTACTTTGACCCTAACCCTTTTATTTAAAAAAAATCTTTTAAATTTTTATTTTGTTCTCGTGAAGTGCCTCATGATTTTTATCTTGAGAGTTATCATATAACCAATCATTTATTCTTCTTCCTCTTCACTTTATAAATAAAATGATTAGAACTCAAACTACCATTTCATTTGCTCGGACACGCCATGATAATGCACCAGCATGGTTACTTTATCATATCTATATCTTGTCTAAAGGTAGCATGTACCAGCATGGAGAGTCACATGTGTCCTAATCCAGAGTTAACCATAACCTGACCCCATGTCTGTAAAGCTGATTGTGTTCAGCTCCCAGACATACTGACTACACCACTCCAAAATGGTCGGATGATCAGTTCATTTACATTGGTAGTGGTGTGCATCGTATGTTTTGATTTTGTTCTAAATGGTGTAATACTCTTTAAATTTGCTTTATCATGCATCAGATTTAATCGTCCTTGCTTCAGAGTGGAGGACTTCATTTATTGAGTCCCAGGGATGGGATTTGAAAATAATTTAGTAATACCAATTCCAGCAAAAAATGCTGTATATGTTCTAATATCTATTCTCACAAAGTTAGAGGATCAAATAAAGCACAAATGGAATGGTTGCAACAACTCTGAGCGTGAAAGATGTGGACAATAAACCAAGTTAACACTTTGCCTCTTGGGGCCCTGTGCCCACATATGTGGACATTGACTCCTTGCACTATAAAATGTTATTCTCTTCTACTTAGAGCCTTGATATACTTGATGTTTGACCTCGCATTGGCACAGGCAGCAACAGGTGTCTTTGTTCACATACTTGCTGCTGCACAGCACTAAACTGCACGTAGTACTGGGGTGTTCCACTAAGGGGCACACTAGATTCCTCAGACCGGACAGAGAGCCAGGTTTGTGGGTACAACCAAAACAAATATGGCATCAATAGAAGAGATCAGTAACGGTACAATTTTAGTTCACGACAGAAAAAGAGACAGCAGCAGAATCGAAGATGGCATTAAAAACCTCTAAATCAGGGACGGAGTCACCATGGGGAGTGCGTCTCGCTTGTTTTGTCAACTTCACCTACTGGTTACTAATATAATGCAGCGTTTTGATGCGTCACATTAATTTCAGGGGATGCGCACAAACAATGCTTCAAATCATTGATTCGAATGAGCACCACCTCACCCCCGCCACGTGGACCTCAAGGGATAAACCACCAATCCTGCTCAATGGTCAACTTTCCTCGTGGGGTCACCCATGAAGACAGTGGGAGGGTTAACGGTTCAATATTTTATTACAAAACATGGCAAAAACACTATATGTTGAAGTTGACCAACACACAAAATGAGGTGCAGGTGGTTTTGAGTTAGAAAAGGTCCATTCTCTCAGACTGAAACCATTTGAAAGACATTTGTCTTCTGTCCTGGTAACAATAATTCTAAAGACAAATCAAATGGACGATCCTTAATCTTTGAATTTCTACTGCAATGTGAAAAGGGACAGCCCGATCCTATTCCTGCTAAAGTGAAATCATGTTCCTTCAGTGTCTGATGACAACACCTCTCAATCGTCATGGTCCAGGACCGGAGCAGCAGAGCTGGACGGCCTGAGCTGTCCTTTGCTGGATGGAGGTCCAGATTTGCAAGACTAACAAGCATTGCAAACACCCGGATACAGAGAATGGTGCAGAGACAAAAGTACACTTTTCCTTTAGCAGATCCATCAGCTGAAGTGATGAGAGATGACAGAACAACAGAATATGGCTTTTCCACGTCTACACTGGTAGACATTTCATCTTTGATTTCATGTAACTTCAGAATAACACAACAACCTGCAGATGTTCTCCCACACATTTCTGTTCATATTTACATTTGACATTTACATCCCAAGCATTTATTTTTTGCTGTGGCTCACCTGAGACAAACAATAAGTGGTCCATAACTTACAGGTGTGTTTCTGTCGTGCACGGTTCTTAAACTCTCATAAACCTCTGTAAGCCCTCTTGGTGCCACAGCTCCCATACAGAAGCATTTGGCAGTACCTTCTTTAGCATTTATCCCAGTGGTTCTTAGTTTATTTGGATGCAGAAAAAATCTTCAAAAAGTCTCATTTCCTTCATATTGAGTTTTCTTCACACTTAGCCAGCGGAGCTGGGGATTTAAACATCGGGAAGCTGGCAAACTCCTCCTCAAGTCCTTTCATCCCATCTCTTAACCCATCTCCCAACCTCTCATCTAGCTCATCCCCCTCCCTCGACTCCCTCTCCAACATCACCCCCTCCCCCGTCCTCCCGTCCAATCTATTTGCTATTAATATTTCTGAGTTGAGCTTTAGCTCACTGCTAAGTGTGCTGCAATTGACATACAGAGCATGTCCATTGCTGGGCTTGCTGTTAATCACGTTATTGCTGTGGCTGTTACCATGGTGACCACCATTGTCCTGATTACTGAGGAGCGTCGTCGTCGTGGTTGAACTAGTGGTCCCGTTTGGTTTTTCCGTCATCCTGAAGGCGTCCGACATAAGGCTGGCGCTGCTGGGGGACTGGGGAGTGGCTGAGGAGCCGAGCAATTCTCGCCCCTTTTCTGTCTCATGATGGCCCAGGTCCGTTCCAGCCCGTTTCCGGGTCAGAAAGAAGATGAGGAACCCTCCTAACAACAGGCCCATGAAGAAGAAAAGGATGTAGATGGCTAAGATGTGGCGGCCTACTCTTTGTGCCATCACTCCACCAACACTGGGGTCCTCCAGCATTAGTTGGTAGGCTGCTCGGCGACAGGGGGTGGGGTCTCTAATGCTTGGGCCCCCCTCCTGTTGGACACAGAAAAGAATACTTTTACTTGTAGTACAAATAAAAAGTAATAAGGACTTTCATCACGTGTCCATACTTGGCATGTGCAGACATATTTTCCAAGGCTATCCTCTGTGACGGTCACCTCCAAGTCAGAATGGTGTTGCCTGGTGTGTCTGTGTGGGGGGTACTCCCAGCTACAGGGACGGGGAGACAGCTGGACACATGGAAGCAGGACACGTAACCCCATGGTGACCCTCAGCTCCTGAATGGATGGATGGCAGCGGCCTGGAGGACAAGAGCTAAAACGCTCAATCTCCATCAATAAAAAATATCAACTATAAAAAAAACTTCTGGATTTACTCACCAGCATGGGTATTACATGTTCTTAAAGCCTGGTCCACGATGTCACCTGGACCAGGACTGAGATACAAAAAGAACTTTAAAGTTTTTTTCATTTTAATCCTTTTTAAAATTTTGTTGTTTGTTAAAAGTTAATTTCTGCTGTTTTTAATGTTTTTTTTTCTTTATTTGGGCTTCGTTTATAAATAAAAAAGTCGAACATTGAAACACAAGAGATGTGTTTTTATAAGTCTGTTAAAAATGGATTTTGTTTGAATTTGATTTCTATTTAAAGCTTTGTTTGACTCTCATGTTAATGTATATGTCTTTACAGTCAAAGTTAAAGTCCCAAAGTCATCATCATCACTGGTGAAATTACATTTTCACATCTGACCATGGGGACCACCCCAATCTAAGCCCTTAAAGCTGAGTGTTAAGCACGGAGGCATTGGGTCCCATTTTGTCTTTGGTGTGACCCGACCAGTTTTGAACCCCGATCACCCAATCTCAGGGCAGGCACTCATACCAATAGGCCACTGGGTTGGTTTATAGCTATATAGATACTATTGAATTATTCTATACACACACTTCACTGTATTTATTACAATAAATAAGTCTTTTTGTACGATTAAACATATTTTTTCTTCTACCTGTTATGATACTCACTCTGCTTGTGCTGCATGGCAAGTTTCGTCCTCTGTGCTCCACACACAGCCCAGTCCCCTGGCTCTGGCACAAACCTCACAGCTGGGATACAGGGAGCAGCCTTCAGCCGGGACTCCAGCCAAAGACAGAGGGCTTCCCACCAGAGCGCGGCCCTGGAAACACAGGAAACATTTTATAGAATCATTATAGGAAGACATTGAACATGAGTAAATACACTGCTGTGTCTGAGGTGTGGAATCATGGACTTCACCTGATGTAGTATTATGTTGTTAACAGGCTCCTGTGAGGAGAAAAGCGGAATCTCTTGCAACAAAGTGGCATTCTGGTCCACTACTGCCACCTGGTGGAGCTCACCACGGTCTGCAACAAAAACACGTTTGAGTTCCATCCGTCCATTTTCTGTACCTGCTCATCCACGCAGGGCCGCGGGTGGCTGGTGCCTATTTCCAGCAATCTCCAGGCAAACAGGCAAGGTGGACCCTGGACAGGTTGGCAGTCAATCGCAGGGAAACCCAGAGACAAACAGGACAAACAACCACGCTCACATCTAAGAATGATTTAGAGAGACCAGTGAACTCCAGGTCAGGATTTGAACCCAGGACCTTCTTGCTACAAGGCAAGAGCGCAAGCCACTGCACTGTTCCAGGAGTTGTATTTATTTAAATTCCACCTCTCATTTCTTTAACTTTTGGAGCCATTTTAAATATACCAAAATGTACTTGAATAATAATCCCCCATGCAACCTTTTTGTTATCGGGCATTAAAAACGTCTAAAGTTACATTTCAGTCCTCATTATTGAGCATTACGTTAGGAATGACTTGTGCTGCTTTATTAAGCTGCTTAACTCAGAGAAATATATTTATGCAAAACGAAGAGTCTGTTGGATTATCTCAGCAGGGTGTGCCATATATATATATATATATATATATATATATATATATATATATATATATATATATATATATTATAGGTGGGCCGTTATCGGCGTTAACGCGCTGCGGCAAAGCCAGACTCTTATCGCGCGATAAAAAAAATGACGCCGTTAATCTATTCTCAAAGTTGGGTTGGGATCTGCGTCTATACTAAGCTATGATGACTTTCACATTGCGCGGATGGATACCTGGTTGGCGCGGATGTATACTCGGCGCGGATCATCGTACGTATGGACGGACGCCAGGCTCGCGGAGTTTAATGTTCCCCATGCAGCTGAACAGTCGCACCTTCGCCACCAGCAGCGCTTCTCCCTTCTCATCGCGCGGGACAAGTAAATAATTTATGTACTTTCACCAGAGTTTAATCCATAAATCCGACTTTCATTCTTTTTATTTTGTTTTGTTTACCTCCGACATTTTCAGCCGGGCTTTCCCCGGGCCACACTTCACCGTCCGCGGCCGAAGCACTGCTCGGATGTAAGAAAACCGAGACAAATTCACCTGTAATAATAAACGTTTTACTCATAAATTTTTATATTTGTTTAGAAAAGTTGAGCTAGGATAACTCCCCTTGCCGTTTTCAGAGACAACAACAGCAACAGTTGGCTTCTGCTCATACAGGTGAGCAGTGGCATTTCCAGCTCTCGCTCCAATTCACCAGAGGCGATCCTACATGCAAACTAAAGGGGGGCATTGGAAGGGCACCCTAGAAATTTAACCCACTCCCCAGGCCAGATAGTTTGTGTGTGTGTGTATGTATGTATGTATGTATGTATGTATGTATGTGTGTGTGTGTGTGTGTATATATATATCTATCTATATATATATATATATATATCTATCTATATATATATATATATATATATATATATATATATATATATATATATATATACTTTTTTCTTTAGCAGGCCATATTGTGCAGAAGAGAAGATCTAGTTTGTCACCAGACAATGTGAACAAGCTGGTCTGCTTGAGTGACTGGTGGAAGAAGGAGAAATAGAACTTGGACTGATTGACCAAATGCTACTGGCTGTAAATAGTTAATCATGACCTATTCTGTAGACCTTCAGTGCAGAATTTGTTGAACTGAATAAACAGCTATTAAACACAAATACTTATTGATCATTATTTATTTTCATCATCAGTTATCGTAGTAAAACTGCTTAATCAGTCTGTGATGCATTATTGAAACAAGAAATACGCCTCCATTCTCAAAGACTTGCTTTTATTCATTATCTAGGTAGCACACACATATGCCTTTGGCAGAATTTGAATGAGCCATTTTAATCTAGATTAATCTAGATTAATTCCAAGACTACAGTGAGATTAATCTAGATTAAAAAAATTAATCTATGCCCACCACTAATATATATATATATATATATATATATATATATATATATATATATATATATATATATATATATATATATATATATATATTTTTTTTTTTTTACGAACTTAAAATTTTTAATGGGATTTAATGAGTCGGATTTTTCACAATATACTTTATATTCAGTTGGTGTCACGTGACATGTTGTTGCTTCACCAGCACATCTCAGACCTGCTGCAAAGCTCCAAATCTAAGGCTCGGATGTCTGGAAGGGCTCGCTTGTCTCTGTCCCACACTGTCCTCCTGTCTCTGTCCTTGCTCTCTGAACAGATCAGCTACTGCTGTGTGTCCAAACGCTTCCAGCTGGAAAAGGGAAACATCCACAGGATCATCTTCTCCTTCTGTGAGTGGATCAACATGCAGCAGGAGCAGAAGATCAGATGGCCAGTTGGTGGGTTGGCTGGAGATTTTGTTTTCTTGTCAATGCAAAACCAGATTATTATTGTAACCTCTTTTTTTCCTGTTTTCCAGACAGAGAGGCTTTGTTGGCACTTTTTCCATTTTCCAGTCAGTTTGGAATATATGAGCTAAAGGAAGATCAAGGTGTACCTCAGATACTGGGAGTGCTGGGACACACATGGATTCCTATCTGTCTACCTGCAGGGAAACCTGACACTGAGAGTGAAGCACCTGTGGAGAAGAAAACAAAGAAGGAGGCTCATCCTAACTTCTGGTTAAACCTGGAGCTGGTCTGCAGTCGTAGATGTCAGTTCCTGCACTGTAGGATCAGTAAAAGCTCAGATCTAGATAGAGGCAGGATTCTGGGAGATAGACTCAAACAGCATCTTGAACTTGTACCTTCAGGCTCCTATCTTGTGGCCAGAGCTGATTACCCACTCACTGAACAGATTTTAATCCCATATAAGAGAGGTTGTGGCCCAAAGGAACTTTTTAACAACTTTGGAGGAGCACTGTCAGATTTTGGATGGGTCTGCCGCCAGCCTGAAAGCCAGATTCAAACGTCTTATGTATCTGGATACAGGGACGAAATTTTGATTTCAGAAGTGGGGGGGACACAGCAGGCTTGTGCGGATTTGGGGTGGGGGGTGTTATGTAAAGACCCCTTGACACGTCACGTGCCCATCTCAATAATTTTTCCATCCTCAATATATATATATATATCAAAGTTAAAAAATGTACAACTCTATTATTATTTTTATTTATTATCATTATTGAAGTGCAGTTTTGGCTGTTGACAATGGATAGGCCATTGTATTTATTGTTTTGGGTCTTTTTTTATTGTTTTTGGTGCAACATTTTCTAACAGGGAGTGAGATTTCTTTTTTATTTAATTTTTGTTTGTTATTTTTATTCATTTAGAAATTCTGGTTCTGGACATTTCAATGTTAAATGAAGGTTTATTTGTTGCATTTTAAAGGGTGTACTTGCATTATTATGATATATTAACATTATATTAGTGGTTATTTTGGTCTAGATAATGTTGACAATATCGTTTATCATCAACAATTTGTTGGACAAAATATCGTCCAGTAAAATGTGTTACTTTCCCAGGCCTAGTCAAAAGTATAAAAATTATTTATACATAAACGGTCTCTCCTGAGATCTGGCCGTTTGTTCATTTGCTGTGTTAGAGGACATGCTGAACTAATGTTTTACACATGATCATCACCCTAACATTTGAGTGTATAAAAACATATTAAATGTTTTTTCCCTTAACAGTGTTTAAACAGTTGTTGCATTTCAACACACAAAAAATAAATGGAAAAAATAAGATAAATCTAATGAAAAGTGTACATCTTTGACATTAAGCTTAAAAAAATCTGTTGACGATGATGATACTGTTCATTTTTCAGAGCTTTTTAATGTGAAAATATGCATTGCAATAGATAAGTTTACAATAAAGTTAAATGATAAAAGTTTTGAAGTTACACTTCTACTACTACTACTACTAGTAATAATAATTATGATGATAATAGTAATAATAATAAAAAAATAATTATAATAATACGAATAAATTGTGTCTGAGGAGTCAGTTATGTGGAGGAGATGAGTTTGTAAAAGTTAGTTTTGAGTATGTTTGTGAAGGAGGAGGTGAGTCTGAGCTTAATGCAGGGGTGTCACATGTTCCAACTTACGTTTTGACTTAGAAAGAAGTCTCTTATATCCACTTTTCGTTTTCTTGACATGCTGCCTCCTGGCTGTGCCTAACTACCAAAGACTCACAAATGAACACTTATTCAAATGTTATGTAATGGAAGCTGAGCTGAGCTCTGATATTACACAGCGTCTAGTTGACGATGTGACTCAGTACCGGTGTTCCCTAGCGGCTCCAAACTAGCAAAACAACGTGAGCACGTTCTGACTGTTTACAACTTGAGTGACAGCAGCAACAGCCAATAATACGTTAGCAAGTATCAGCAGAGCCAATAGATTAGCTTTTGGGCGGGTCTAATAGGAAACCGGTTTCCGTTTCGGTCCTAGTGCTCAACCAAATCCATTTAATGGAGCGTAACATTGTTTTTGGACGGAAAAAAGTGCAGGGGACCAAAACTGCCTTTTGAAAAAGTGTGTGTGTGTGGGGGGGGGGGCATGTCCCACCCGTCCCCCCCCAAAATTACGTCCCAGTCTGGATATAGGAACTACGAGCGAGCCAGAGCTGTTGTTCTGACAGAGTGTGTGTTACACAATGTGTTTGTGAACTTGGGTCAAGTGATTGAAGAAGGGTCTGACAAAGAGAACGCTGTGATTAAAGAGGAGGATGGGGAGGACGATGGCGATGGCGTACGTAGACGGGATACTGTTGCAGGTCTGATGCTGAACAGTTGTGATTTTCTATCTGTGAGCAGAACTGAGCAAGAATAAAGATTTGTGTTAATGCTTGAGTCTGGTTTTATCAGTGTGTGACACTCGCCATAAAACAATCTAAAAATGTTGTTACTTGTACTGGTTACAATACAGTGTTGGTGCGTGTTGATGAGGTGTATTTGTGGCTGTGGTGAGTGGGCAGTGCAGGCATCGTCTGGCCTATGCTAGCTGATGCCACCACACCACCCCTCTTCCCCCCACAGCC